TTGAGTTCCTTTTTCCTTTTTCCCCCCTTTTTTGAAAATGACATTTGGATAGTAGTTTACTCTCTCAGGTGTTCTAACAGTAGAAAAGTGAACAAACATGTTTAGATTAAAACTCTAGTCCGATGACTTAGAATCGTTTTTGTCTCTTCGGTTCAACATTTCTACAGAAAAATTGACTCTTTTCCTTTGGCTCTTGAGAGTTGTTCAGTGTTAACAGGTTCCAAAGTTGGTAACTATAAGATTCAATCACATAAAATCAGTTGTTGTATTTGTCAGAAACTTGTTTGGCTTTTTAAGTCCAAGGATTTTAGAGATACTGAACATCAGCAATCAGGTAATTGCATGCAATATGGCAGATATTCAAAGTTGATTTTTGTGCTTGAGTACTAACAGTTTACGTGGATCATATCCTTGGGTACCATAAGTGTAGTGAAAGGCAGTCCAGTTTTCTGAGTTAGGCTGTAGTTTCGTCTTCACACTATAAGGCACTGTGGAGTATAATCCTTTTCTCCATATTTTAATTTTCCATTCCCTAAAATAGGGACAAAATTTGCTCTTCATCAGGAGCTGAAGCTTCATTTCCCTGGGAATGTTTTCTATTTTGAAGGATTTTTTTTTTTTTTTTGCTCCAAATGCCTTCAGGGCAGCTTTGGCTGGCTTGAGTTGTGGGGATGGAACCACAGCGACCTGAGCCTGACTGCTTTGTTGAAGCAGCCACTTAAAGAACTGAGCTAAGGGGCAGGCCCCCAATGTTTTCCATTTTGTTTCAGGTTGCAGATTAAATATTACCTTCTGTCTGAATCTTTTCTTTCATTCTATGCAGTTAGGGGCTACTATGATGCTCTGCTTGTGCTGGTGTTTTCTGATAGTACACTGTAGTTATTTGACAATTTCTTCTATTATGTGAGCTTAGCAATGGGTAGAAATCATTGATTACTCATCTTGACATATTCATTATCTAACATAGTGCCTCACACAAAGTAAATACTAAAGACCTATGGATGGATGGGATAGGATGGGATGGGATGAAATGGGATGGGATGGGATGGGATGGGATAGGATGGATGGATAGATGGATGGGTGGATGGATGGATGGATGGATGGATGGATGGATGGATGGATGGATGGTTTAACAGGATCCTTGTAGATTTTCTTGCCATTGACTCTAATGGGAAACTGGGTAATCATGTAAATCCTCACTTGCTGTTTAAAGAGTCAATCAGGAATCTTTGTCTTTAAATATGACAGAAGTTGCTCAAATCATATGCTTATTTATTTACCTCAGTGTGGATGATATTGGTGTGTAATAATATGTAAACTGTATATTTTTGAAAATACTTTGTATCTCTACAACTTTTGAAGGGTTTTGTCATTATTAATACTTCCTTAATCTCCAACTTACCCTTTCTTCCTCAAAAATTCATTCTACTAATGGAAAAGGTTTCTGTTGCATATAATACAACCAAATGTAGTACTATGTAGCAAGGGCTGTACTTGGTGCACTTGGCAGAGAGAAGGAACCTGTTGTCCCTCCAAGAAAACTCACTATGCAAGAAGCAGCTCTTGAGTTCTATAAGCAGAACTCACAGGGCTGGGCTGAAATAGTGGTTCTAGGCACAATATGATGAATTGTTCCCTGATGCATTTACTCTGCTGGCAAATACATGTCCTAAGAATGAGAGAACTGTATGTGTCACATATTGGTCCAACTAAATCCTAAAAATATCAGATCACTGAAGGGGAGAAATCATCCCTAGTGATCAAAGAAGGTAAGACCTGAATGGCTTATGAAAATAGGAAATGTACATGGGTGACAAGAGTCTGAGGCTAAAGCCAGGGGTGGTGGGGTGCACCTATAATCCCAGTCTTCAGAAGGCTCAGGCAAGAGGATCAGCATGAGTTTGAGGCTAGCCTGGGCTGCACAATTCAAGACCAACTACACTACATATCGAGACTGCTCAAAAGATACAAAGGAAGAGGGTGTTTCTTGAGGATCTAAGTGGGATTACAAAAGAGTCATTAACTCGAAAGGACAAGGCAGCTACAGACTTAGTGAAATGTGCCTGTTAATACGAAGATTAACTTGCCTAGTCCAAGGCTAGAGAGTCCTGGGGATATGAATTATATGCAATTTTGCAGTAGCTGCCTAATCTCTACCCTACCCAATGGTAAATCTATCTTTATCCCAGAATCGTTGTAAGGTCTTAACACATTTTAGGCACTTAAGTTTTTTCTTCATGGGAGCTCGACATGTATTCTTGGGCTTTCTGGCCCTGGGATCTTGTTCTGGAACCCACTTATCACTTACACTGGACAGTGTAAACTAGAAGGGATCCTCTGAATTTCCTGATCACTGAAAATGGAACCTAGAGATTTTGCACTGAACTACATCCCCAGCCACCCCATCCCTCCTGTCTCAGCCGCTCAGAATGCTGGGATTACAGGTGTGCACCACATATCTGGCAACTCAACTGGTAGATCCTGGAGATAAGACAAATATGTGGCTTCTAACCTCGATCATTGAGCAGTAAATTATGCTGCGAAATTGTAAGTGCTGTGATAGAAACACTAGTTGGGCACTGCTCTGGGCTTTATAGAGTTTCCAGCTATCAAGTCCCAGAATTGTGTACTGTTGTAAAGTTGTGATTTGAAATTATAACAAACAGGAATACAGTTAAAAGGATTAGCTAAGAATAGGAAACGTGGTGACTGACAAGGATTAAGTTACACAAAACAGTTCAGAAAATTGTGAACGTGTGTGTTTTAATGAAAATTCGACCTTGAAACATTTTGGCAGAAGGCTTAGTTCAGTAATGACAGGAGGTTATTGCTAGGCTACCAGGTACTTCATAGAAATTACCCTGCTTTCTGAGAAACAGCAGGCATCTAAAATATAAGATCCACTTTGTGAACACTGTCCAAAGCTGGAAAAAAAAAAAAAAGCGTTCTCCAAATTCTGGGGCCGTTCTCTTCCCCGGACGCTTCTAGGGGGTTGGGTTGGACCAGTTTCGCGCAAATACTTTCTTTTCGTACATTTGCATCAAATACTGCACTTTCTTTTTCCAAATGGCATTTTTTTTTGGGGGGGGGCGGAACCGGGGATTGAACTCAGAACCTTGCACTTGCCAGGGAAGCGCTTATTCCACTGAGCCATCTCCCCGGCCCCTCAAGTGGCATTTCTAAGCTACATCTTCAGTACACTAAGGTACTTGCCACTGTGACCACTTCAGGCAGCCGGGAATGGCCCGCACACCATTTCCTTGGGCCCCAGAGAGCCGGAACACACCAGAGGAAGGCGTGTCCCCAACTCACTTCCGGGGCGGGCCCGCCCTAACCGGAAGCTTTCTGTGCCGTAACCGGAAGTTCTTTGTGTCTCCCCGCCCTTTCACTTTCGCCGTGACTGGGGCGGGACTTCCTGTCCTGCGGCCTACAAGGACGTCTGTGGGTGCGGCGGTGAGCCCGCCCGCAGATTGGCTGGGCTTCTGCGCGTGTGCTAGTTCCCTTGTGCTGTTCTCTACGCGTGTCTATATCGGGAGGCAGCCATGGAGGGGCCGCCGCCGGCGCCGCGCAGCCGCCTCCTCGGGACGCTGGCTCCTTTCCCTCGGGTCTTTGCCGCCGGAGCCGTGGCTGCGGACGCGAAAGCCGACGGGAAGACTGCGAAGCTGCCTTACTACATCCCAGAGCCCTGTCCCACTCAATCCGGGTGGGACCGCCTCCGGGAGCTGTTTGTCAGAGAGTAAACGCGCTCAGGGTCCGCGGGGGGCAGCCCGGGCGGGGACCCGCGGGCGGGGGCGGGGGGTTGAGCGAGTTTGGGCTTCTGATGTTAGCGCCCACCTGGTACCCTACATTGCCATTTGCTAGTTGGTTGACAGGCAGGTTTTTGAATGGTGAAGGTACGACTGGAAACTACAGTTCTTAGGGATGCGTGGAGAGTAATCCTTGGGAGATCCGGGCCCGTGTTTTACAGATGAGAAAAATTGGCTCAAGCTAGGAATTGTCTAAAAGTCCACGACAGGCATTTGGTTTTTCAGGTCCCTCCCAAACTGGTGTTTTGTGACCGGTCATTTTCTGCTTGCCAAAACAAAGACTGAGGAGGGCAGACATAGTTAACAATTTTTAATTATGTCCAATAAGGAATTATAAGTAACAGCAACTATTACCTATTTTCTTTTCAGTGTTGAGAGCAAACTCAAGGTGTCCTACAGGCTAGGCAAAGGATTCTAACAGCTACACCCCTCTGTTTCTCATTTTATATAAGAAAGTTAAACTTTAAAGATACTCAATAAGTGAGAATCCTTTAAAATGAATCAATTTAGTAAAAACTTAGAATGCTTAATTCTTTCATTTATTAATTACTAGTGAAAAGTTTGCCTTTTCAGAAATTAGTTTGCTGTACTACACTGGTGTGAAGTTGTTAAAGTTGAGTGGACCCTAATAGTCCAGGTTCCACTTGCAAGAACCTAGGTTGGATCCCCCATACCACATACTGTGCTGGCCCTACCCTGGGTGCACCAGGCCAGCCACCAAAACTGGGCATGGTGTTGCATGCCTGTAATCCTAGCATTGGGGAAGCTTAGACAGGAGGATCACTACAAGTCCAGGCTGTGTAGTGAAACCCTGTACCAAATACATAAAATAAGTCTGGGTTCTTGTGTACAGCAAGGAAAGAATTGCCAAGCATACATCTTGTAGTATGTAGCTAGGTTTATTGAAGAGCACAGGATGGTAGTAGGAACAGACAGGAGAAAGAGGAACTGAGGACATGGACCACTCTAAGTGGGTGCTTCCTGTTAGGGTCAGACACTGCTGACTCCTGGTCCTGCCCATGTTTCATTATGTCAGAACTGATGGTATGCCATGCTGGTGTCCTGACATCCTTAGCTTAACCATAATTAATCACCAGAGTGGTGCTGTATCCCTAGCTGAATGAAGGGAAAGGAATGGTTCATTCAATTTCCCTGCTTCTGACTCTTTCAGAGGAGTTAAAGATGAAGTTTTATAGTGGTTCCAAGAAGGGCAAGGGAGCTGGCAGGCTTGTATTTAATCATTCTTACTTTGGTTTCATCATTGTTTTAAAGCTAATAAAGCAGTGGCACAAGCCTATAACCCCAGCTCCTCAGGAGGCACAGGCAGGAGAATCCCAAAATTCCAGGCCACCTGGGCATCTAAGTGAGACCCTGCCTCAAAAAAATAGAAAGGGCTGGGGATGTTGCTCAGCACTGGACTATTTTTCTTGGGTTCCCAGGATCACCACCACCACCATCAGCCATGAAAAGATCTGAAAGCATACAGATTCATAAAAGACCTGTGTAACGTAGAATAACAGAAGAGGGTTGTTTGGTAAATCACAGATTTCTTGAGCTGAAAGGAATTTGAAAGATAATCTTATAGTTTTCACTGTCCCCTCCGTGGTGAGCTGAGAAGACCAAGATTCCATGAATGGTGTGACCTGGCTGTGGGTGATAGACAGAACCAGGACTCCAACCCCAGTTACTTAAATCTAGGTCTGCTCTGCTACTCTGCTCTGCTGTTTTATATGCTGTTCAGTGGCCTTTTGGACCAACTATGTTAACTTTTTAAAGGCTGTGTTCTCACAACAATAAAATGCAGGGCAAAGGAGGTAGCACTCACTGTAGTCTCAGCACTTGAGAGGCCGAGGCAGAATGATCACCTGGAGTTCAAGGGCTACCTACATAGTGTGATCCAGTTTCAAAAAATAAAAATAAAATGTAGATTAAGTATTACCTCTATTATTACCTCTATTGTAGAAATTTTTAGAGGCTTGAAACAAACAAACAAAAAAACCCCAGTGCTTAGGTATCTCCTGGCTTGTTAAACTCCTTTACATTTTTTTCTTTTTCTTTTTTGAGGTAGGATCTCACTATGTATCCCTGGCTAACCTTGAATTCACTGTGTGTTCCAGGCTGGGCTTGAACTCCCGGTGATCCTCCTGCCTCAATCTTCCAAGTGCTGGCATTACAGGTGTGTGTCCCCACACCAGTGGCAGTTTTCTCATTGACCTTAATGTAAGACAGTGTTCTAAGAGATTTTATTTAAATTTTTCTCTGTGGATGTAGAAATTGAAAGGCCCAACTGGCACTGGAGTCCTACTCAGGATGCTTTCCTAGCATGTGCAAGGGCCTAAATACAGTCCTGGCACCCCAGAACAAAACCAAAAGAACTCACTGATATCTCAAATATTGTAGTTATTGACAAGTAAAATTAGTTAAGTACTTGCCAGTCTCTGAAGAAAGCAAGTTAAATAACATTTAGTAGTTTACTTAGGAGAGCCATCATTTATAGTAATTTAATACTTAAAAACCTTGCCAGGCATGGTGACCTACACCTATAATCTGAGGATGATGGCAGATTGTTATAATCCTAGCTGCAAGGGAGGCAGAGACAAGATGGTCATAAATTTGGACCCACCCTGGGCAGATTAGATCTAATCTCAAGATAGATTGGGCTGGGAATGTAGTTTAGTGCTCCTTGGAATCAATCCCCAGTACTGCAAACATCAATCAATAAATTACAGAGTTACCAGTTTGTCAGAACAGTTACAGGAGAATATCTTGGAAGCTTAATGAACAGTTCTAGTTTCTGGTTTTTTGTTTTGTTTTGTTTTGTTTTGTTTTTTTTTAACTTTTGAGACAGAATCTTACCATATGGCCCAGGCTGCCCTAAAACTCAAAGTGATCTTCCTGCCTCAGCCTTCCAAGTGCTGGGATCACAGGCATGTACCACCGCACAGGTCAACAGTTCTCATTTCCTATGCATTTGAGAGTGACAAATTGACTGAAGTGGTAGTTTCATTGGTTGACCTGTATTGCTCACTGCATAATGAGCTTTCAAAGTGATTATTAATAAATAGGATTTTGCCATTTTATAATATTATGTTTTCATTCTTCCATACGTTGTGCTGACCTTTCACGAATTTGTGTAATTTCTATGGTTTGACATTTGAAAAGAATATGATTTCTTCATTAAACCCACAGATTCTGTTTCTAGAGTTACAATATAGTTATAATAACCATCAAAATAAAAGTGTATTTATTTGCATAGGTGGTACTAGGAATTGACTGTAGGCCTTTGAGCCTCATCCCCAGCTTTTTTTTTTTCCCTCAGATTTGGAGACAATGTGGCCTAAGTTAGGCTTGGACTAGGCTTGGACTTTCAGTCCTCCTGCCTTGGCCTTCTAGAGTGCTGACTGTGGCTGTACAGGTGTGTGCCACCATACCTGACTTTAAAAGCACCTAAACCAAAACCTTCCAGTACAACATGAATCTAGGGAAATGTACGTGAGCAGATTTACTAATGATTTCCTTTTTGCTTACTTGTGAAATATCACAAACTGAACATAGCCGTGTAACCAGCTCCTGCAGTTGTTAACAGCAAGTGTCACAAAAGCTCCTTTGTTTTCCAGTTCAGAATTGTCTCCTAAGAGTGTCTTGCTTTTGGATGTTTTGCCTAAGATTTGAGCTACTTTTAATATAACAGCACTGTTTAATTTATTGAAGAATGCAGTTCTGCCCCTAAGGTAAAAGGTAGTATTAGCATTTGGAATAATTCTGAACATAGTGCTTTTGGATAATGTCCCAACAACATGGTGTTTTTGATGTTTTAGTGAGCACCAGAGAATTTCAGAGGAGCTTGAGGACATCTGTAAGGCAGCAGCTTCAGCAGGCATCATTGGCTGGGTATATGGGGGATTACCAGCTTTTATTCATGCTAAGCAGCGCTACATAGAGCAGAGCCAAGCAGAGGTTTATTATAACCAATTTGATGCCGTGGTAAGTACTGATGGTCTGTCTCGGTTACTTTTATTGTTTGGAAAAAATACCCAACACCCAAAATTCAGGCAGGAAAGGTTTATTTAGCTCATACTGAAAGTTTCAGCCCATACTTAGCTGGCTCCAAGGCCGAGTGACACATGGCAGAGGGCAGCAGTTCATGGCGGTGGAAAACAAAGAGCAGAAGGAGGAGCAGCTGCTGTGGCAGCTAACAAGCCTCTCCTCTCTCTCCTCCTTACATTTGTATGGAGATTCTCTGCCCCAGGGCAGGTGTAGCACTCAATTATGATTCCCACATTGGATCATGAACTAAATCATGAACTCTAGAAGCAGCCCCAGTGACTGCATTGAGGTTCTGGGGGACAACTGGACACAAACCATAACATGGTCTAAGAGTGTTATGAAGGTGCAGACTGTCTTCACAGTTACACGTAATTATTTAGTTAGGTTGTGGTTTGAAAGGATTGTAGGAAGTCCAAGTCTGTGTTTAATAACAATGGAAGAAATAATGCTAATATGCCTGAGCACATCTCGCCAGACAATTATCTCCAAAGCAGGCGTGTGTGGGCTCACCACCATGGCTATAAAACAAAAAGTTAACTCCGGCATAGTACTGTTATCTGCAGACCTTATGTAAATTTACTAGTGCTTCCACTTACCTCATTTACTTGAAAATATATTAAACAAATTTCTTTCTTTGGCCTAAGATCTAATAGTAAATTACATGTTGAATTTGCCTGGCACTCCTCTTTAGTCTGCAGCATTTTCTCTGTCTTTGTCTTTTCTGAGCTTGACAGTTTTATGATTTGATTTCTTAGAAAATGCAGTCTCTTTTTTTGACAGGTACATCTTAGAATTGACGTTGTGTACTTACTACATTACATCAGAAGCACACACTATGTGCCTATCATTTTATTGCTGATATTTATTTATGTATTTATTTTTAATGTATTTAGTACAGAGTCTACAGGGTCTAACTACACAGATCGGACTTGTAGTGATCCTTCCTGTTTTTTTGCCTCCCAAGCACTGGGATTACAGGCAGGATTATAGGTGTGTGCCACCGTGCCCAGTCTTATTTGCTGACTCAGTGCATCCTGGGGCAGGGCCAGCTTTGCAATATTTACTTTAGGTGACATTAGCCAGGTGTATCTTCTATAAAATTAGTACTTTTTCCCTTTATAAAGATATGTATTTTATGAGTTCTTATTAGAGCCTTTGAAATTATGCAAGTATCCCATTTTTCATCAGATTTCAGCATGAAATTATGATTCTGGCTTGAAGTAGTTATTGCTGTGGTGGTTGCAAATGATCATTTTCTAGTTCTGTCTTTCCCCATTTTTTGGCTAGTACTCACTTCTAAGAAAGTGTTCTTCCTCTACCCCTACATCAATCTGTGTATCCATTTTTTTTTTTTTCTTAAATGTATTGATACAGGGTCTTGCTACACAGCTTGGACTTGTAGTGATCCTCCTGTTTTCAGCCTCCCCGGTGCTGGGATTACAGGCGTGCACCACCATGCCCAGACTTGATCACCAGCTCAGCATGCCCTGGGTTGGGACTGGTGTGGGCATGTAGTGCTGGAGATCAAACCCTGGTGCCTGTGCTTGCCTAAGCAGGGGCTTAGTCCACTGAGCTATCTCACTGGCCCTTTTGTATCCATCTATTTATAGCCATGCATCCACATTAGAGATCATTCTGAGGACTGTGTTGTTAGACAGTGTTGTCATTGTGTGACTGTCACATAATATACTTTATGAACCAGAACTACTACAATGCCCCAAGACAACACAGTCTTAGTACATTATGTCTGTGGCCTTTTTTTCTGTGTGTGTACAGTGGTTTGGGGACACTGGGCTATATTTCCAGCTACCTTTTATACTTTTTATTTGGAGACAAGTGTCACTAGGTTGTGTCCAGGTTGGGCTGGAATTTATGATCTTTCTGCCTCAGCCTGTCACAGTGCTGGAATCACAGGCATGTTCCACCATGTGTGTCTTGGTCTTGAAGCCTTCCTATGTAGTACAAAACTGTGTTTATAATTTATTTATATTAGTATAGACTTAGGGTTTCTTGTTTCATTCTATAGGTGTGTAATCCATTGTCATTTATTTTCATTCCCAAATTGGCCTGGATTTGGATCAGGAAAGCCATTTCAGGCTAGCTCCTGTGTTCCTGAGACATGTCTTCATTCTCTTGCCTTTACTTTGGATACAGTAACATGTTCCTGGCTTGTCTTTTGCTCTTCCTGTGCTGGTCCTGAAATTAGCTATTTTTCCAAAGACCTCAGCTTTCTTTCAGTGGAGACTGGTATTTAGAAGCCAAGATCTGAGTTTTATGTACACATTTCTACTAGGGTGGCATTGTTTCTAGACCCTAGGCAGACAGAATTAGGGTGTGTGTGTGTGTGTGTATGTATCTGTATGCAACTTACATGCAATTCACATACATCTGTGTTGGTGTCTATTTATTAAAAGCTGTGAATGCACACAGATACCTCAGAGAAGTTTTTGTTGTTGTTTTTTTCCCATAATTTTATTGATAAACAAATAGTAATGAGACAGTTTCAGATCAAATTGGTAGGACAGTTTCAATAATTCACACATTGCCTCAGAGAGGTTTTGACTTGCTCAAGGTCATATAGTAGTTGAGATACCACAGGGTTTCTTACATATCTTTGCAAATTCAGAGTTTACCCTCTGGTCTTGTACCTGACCTGGTCTGTGCCGGCTCAGCGAAGATGTGCAGTACAGATGCAATGCTCCTTCTGATTCGGATTTTATTCCTTATACCCTGGGTGATGTTGGTGATAAACTTTCTCCTAAGCTTTAGTGAAAACTGTAAGACCTTCCTGAAAACTGTGTCGTAAAGAGTAAATGAGGTACTGTGTGAAAGCACTTCAAGCATAAAAGGTGGTCCTACATGTCTTTGCTTTCTCTGTGCTGAATATCTGTGCTAGTTTAATCTTTGCCCTTTAATTTAATATTTATTCAGTAGATGACTTTTGGTTTTCTTTTCCCTAGCATCGCTTAAGCCACATAAATTGTCTTTAAATAATTGATGGATTACTTGGTTGACAGTGGTCATTCTTAGTTCCTTTGCCATCTCCTGATAAATAGGATGTATGTGAGACTTGCTTAATCCTCAGTACTTAAAGGATGGCATCTCTAGAGATTCTCAGTTCTTTTCTGCATTGATGTACCTGACTAATTTATAGCATGCAGTTCCGTAATGGAGGGAGTGTTGGGGTGTCCCAGGACCTCACAGCATTTTTGTTCACCTCAGCAACACGCACACCGTGCTGCATTGCGAGGCTTCCTTCGGTATGGCTGGCGCTGGAGTTGGAGAACTGCGGTATTTGTGACAATATTTAAGTAAGTGCTCTCTGAATTGTGAAACAGGGTCCTGATTCTCTTTTAGAGCAGGTGGGGTGTTTCCTGTTGTCCTGTCTTGTTTTGTGGTGGTACTGGGGATTGATCCCAAGACCTTCACACTGAGCTGCATCCCCAGCCCTTTTTTACTTTTATTGGGACAGGGTCTTACTTTGTCACTACATTATACAAGCTAGGCTTAAATTTGCAGTCCTCCTGCCTCAGCCTCCCAGAGCATTTGGATTATAGGTATGGACAACCACACCCAGATGAACAGGTGGGATTATAAAAATAGTACTTACAGGGAAGTGATTCATAATGCCTTTTTTCTTTGTTTCTTTTCTTCTTTTCCGTTCGGGTTTTTTAGGGAAGCAGATTTTTGTTCGTTGAGACATCATCTCACTGTGTAGTTCAGGCTGAACTCATTGATCCTCCTGCCTCAGCCTCCCAAGTGCTGAGATTATATGTGTGCACCCCTGTGCCTGGCCATAATGTCTTAGGAACTTTTGTCTATTGGGGTAAAAGGCTGATCCAGGAGTAGTTTCATATACAGGATAGAGATCTACCCACTGGGATCAACATAGATAGAAGAATGAGTTCTAACTAAAAGAAATTCTGCAGAATCTTTCTATGTTTCTAAATGAATACTTATTCCAGAGATGTGATTGTTCTTTGGTTCCTCTTTAGCAGAAACTCTACCTCAGAAGCTCTATGGCCCATTAGCAATCTAGAACACATGGCAGGCCCTAGATTAGGACAAGGATTCCAACTGCGGACTCTTGAAAACCTATCATCTCAGTGAAAATAGCAATCAGGAAGGGAAGTGAAATGTGTTTTGAATGATCTATGTTCCTTTTTCTCCTCAATTCTCAGCTCAGTGAACACAGGACTAACTGTGTACCGAAATAAAAATGCCCTGAGCCACTTTGTCGTGGCAGGAGGTAAGATGTCTTTATCCTTTGTTTACCTTTTTTGGTCTCAGATATGGTTTAGAAAATATGTAAGGACTAAATAAGGATTGCAAAATTCCTTGGGTGGCTTCTCATTACATCTTGTGCACTATCCACACAAACTGTGTTCATGGACAGCTTTGTATGTGGGCCATGGTGCACTCAGCGAGTAAAGCAGGCAAGATCCTTGCTTTCACTGAATTTTAAAGTGTAGTGAAAATGGGAAGAAACAGGTTCTCATGATAGAAAATAATAAATCATGGTACAAGGCCTGTGGTTGACAGATTGGCCCCAGGTGGTCTTTTTCAGGAAGTGACATCTAGGTTGCCACCTAAAGAATGAGAAGGAGCATGCATTTTCCACAGAAGAGTGGCCTAAGTAGCAAGAGCATTAGGACAAGGTCCTGAGGAAGCAGGTTTCCTTAGAAGCAGGTTAAGCAGCATGTGTTGGTGCCTGCGTGTATTCCCAGGTCTCTGGGAGGCTGAGGCAGGAAGATTGCAGGTCTTGAACCCAACTTGGGGAGCTTAGTGACACAGCCAGACCCTATCCTCAAATAAAGTAAAGACCTGGGGATGTAGCTCAGTGTGAAGACCCGGGCTATAATCCCCAGTACCACAGAAGAACAACAGCAACAAGAGGGCAGGTTCTGATCCAGTGAAGGGAAGAATAGTTTGAAAAGTGACTAGTGACACGTAGGAAGGAACCAGATGTTTTTCACAGTAATCTTTGGATTTTATTTTGAAGCCTTCTTCCTCTAGTAAAGACATCTTACTTTAAATGAGCAGTAAAAGTAGAAAAAACGGTTGGGCCTGGTGGCACAAGTGTATAATCTCAGCATGTGGGAGGCTGAGGCAGAATCATCCCGAGTTGGACACCAGCCTGGACTAGTGAGTTCAAGACCAACATGAGCTATATCGTAAGAGCATCTTAAAAAACCAAGCAAACAAACAGGAAAAAAGAAAAGAAAAAGCAGAGCATTAAGAATAAAAGCAAAACCACTGAAGGAAAGGTGAATGAAGTTAGTTGCTGTGTACGTGCAAATATCACAAACTCATGCACATTCCCTCACAGACTCAAACACACAAGATGGATTTGTTGTACATTGGGGAGACTTAGGCAGGAGGATCACAAGCTCAAGGAGTTTGAATGACATAGCAGGACCCTGTCTCAGAAAAAGCAAAGAAAAAGAAAAATATGCATGTAACACACATGTGCACGTGTGTTTGCATACCTTGAACCTAACATCTGAAGTTTTTTCCTTTGGAAATAATTTGAATTTTTCAAAACTTGGAAAATAATAATACAGGGAACACTGTATACCTTTTAGAATAGCTAGACTATACCTTTTAAAATTTCTGAATAGGGGGCTTTTACAGGCTCAAATGTCCAAGCCAAAGCAATCCTAAGCAAAAGGAGCCAGGCTGGCAGCTTTATAATACCTGTTTTCAAATTAGACTATAAGCCATAGTAAAAACAAACAAACAAACAAACAAACAAACAAAAAACAGCATGGGACTGGTACCAAAACAGATGCGTAGACCAGTCAGCAGAGGAGAGGACATTGGAACAAACCACACAAATATAGCTGCCAGATTCTAGACAAAGAAGCCAAAAATCTATGTTGGAAAAAGCCTCTTAGTGAATGTTGCTGGGAAACTGGGTATCTACTTGTAGAGGACTGAAATTAAATCCCTCTCTCCCTGTATAAAAACCACTTCAAAATGGCTTAGTCCTATTAAAAAGACCTGAGGATGGGCTGGCGAAATAGCTCAGTGAACTAAGCGCCTGCTTTGGCAAGCGCAGGAACTAGGGTGTGATTCCCAGTCCAACATGCCTTGCCGAACCCATCCCCAGGGCTCACTGAGCCGTGACGGGAGTCTGGGTGTGGTATTGCATGCCAGTAATCCCAGTGCTGGAGAGACTGAAAACAGGAGGATTCCTGAGTCCGAGCTGCATGTGAGACCCTGCACCAAATACATAAATGAAGAAAAAAAAAGACCTGAGGCTGTGAAACTGCTGAGAGAAACAAGGGAACTTAAAGCCAGTAGACATGAGCAACTCCCTGAGGAGGACTCCAGTGGAAAAGGAATGATGGGGGCTACATCACAGGGCTTCATCAAATTTAAAATATTCTTCACAGCAAGGGAAATAGCTAATAGCAAAGACAGCCTGTAGAATGGCAGAAAAAATCTTGGCCAGCTACCAGTCGGACAAGAATTAACTAGAATATATAAGAATTTTTGTATTAATTTTTTATTAGTACATATTTGCAGTACATGTTCATTGTGGAGAGTTGGTTGGTACATGTACAAAAATGCTTCTTTCTTTTTACTTCCCCTAACCTCTCCTCCTCCCTTTATCTCTACATTCTTTTCCCATTTGCAAGATTGGTCTCCCTGGTTTCTCTTATCTTCCATTGTTCTTTTTTGAGACAGAGTGTTGCTGTGTAGTGCAGACTGGCTTTGAGTTCACCATGTAGCCTAGGCTGGTCTTGAACTTGCTGTGATTCTTGTGCCTCCACTTCCCAAGTTCTGGGATTATAGGCATGCACCACCATGCGCAGCTCCATCCTTTGTTTTGTTCTTTATTTATACTTTGCCTTTTTCGTATACGAGAAACCATGGGATATTTAAGTTTGTGTGTCTGATTTATCTCACTTAACATACGGTTGCATGGTGCATCCATTTTCCTACAGATGATTGAAGTTATTCCTTCTTTATGCTAGAGTACTACACTGTGTAAATATACCACATGTTCTGTACCCATTTATCTGTTGATAGACATGTAATAGCCATAATCCCAGGACTTGAGAGGCTGAAGCAGGAAAATTTTCACAGGTTCAAGATCAGCCTGAACTACATAGTGATACATAGTGAGACCCTATCTCCAAAAAAAAGAAAGAAAAAGAAAAGAAAAAAGAAAAGAAAAAGTCTATCTATGGCATTTTTGCTGCCTGATTTTTAGAAAACAAATCTAATTGCAAAATAGTATTATGGTAAAGGCTCCATTTTTTTCATGCAAGATTCTTTTTCTATTGATTAATTAATTTCTTAGTACATGTTTGCAGAACATAATGATTCCATTCTGTGGGGAGATGGCGCATGTACATGGCCAAGATTCTCAGTCGCCTAGTTTGTACTGAGACCAGGAGGTCTTGCAAAACGTAAAAACGCCTTTTTTTTCAGGGCTCAATGTCACATTTGTCCCATTTTCTGGACTACAACCCAGGGGTGAGTCATTAGTGGTCATCGCAGGGGAGTTACCTTCAATCCATACATAAATTTCTAAAACAAAAGGAAAATCTTGAAAGCAGCAAGTAAACAATTTCTCATATAGAAGAACATACAGTAAGATTAACAGTTGTCTTCTTAGCCAGAAATTGATGGAATGACACTTAATGAGCAAATGAAATAGGCTGTGAACAAAGAATTCTGTATCCAGAAATCAAGACAAAATAAAGGTAGCTCTAGATAAACAAAGACAGATTTCATAGTTTGCAGAGGTGCCTTAGAAAAATACCAGTGAAAGGGAGTTGCTAGGCACAAACACTTAGTGATGCAGGAATAGGACAGTAATGAAACAAAAGGGGAAGAAGGAAGTTTGTTGGAGTAAGAGAAGGACACCAGGTGGTCACCTGGAGCCACAGGAAGAAATGGAAGTGCTAGAGGGGGTGTGTTTTTTATTAGTAAGGACTTCCTGACAAAACTCATTTCTTATGTTTTTCCCTCTTTAAAATACATATTGTATAAAATGATAATTGCAACGTGTTGAATTTTAATATATACATATTACATATGACAATAATAATACAAAGTTGAGAGAGGAGTGGAGTTCTGCTGGAACAGGATAATACAAAAAGCAACTTTTAATAATATCTAGAAATATTAAAAAGGAATTTAAGAAGATATGTAGACAACAACAACAAAATGGGAGACCCAAATCCAGTCATGTACATAATATTGTTAAATATGGCAGATTAAACACTTGCTGGTTTTCCCTTTCAATATTTTATAAATGTTTCACTCCACTCTTACCACAGGTGGCTTCTGAAGGGAAGTCTGATATTCTTACGTATGCACTTCTGGTGGTAGCACGTGCACCCACAACCTACTGGCTTGTGCAGTATGTTTTTTCAATATTTTTTATCTTTGATTATATGCAGTTTGAAAATGGTATGCCTATGTGTTATTTGGGTGAACATTGATGCTGCTTGATTCCCTGTCTGTCCCTTTCTCTTTTCTGTCTTCTCTTTTTAAAAATTAGTTAATTAATTAATTAATTTATTTATTTGGTACAGGGTCTCGCTACACAGTTCAGACTCATAGTGATCCTCCTATCCCAGCCTCTCCAGCTCTGGGATTATAGATGTGTACCACCACACATGGTTTCTGTGGCCAGCACAGCTTTCTGGGGAAGGCACTGTATGAGGTACCAGGGGTCAAACCTGGGTCTTTGCACTCGCCAGGCAGGTGCTTAGACCACCAAGCTATCTCCCCAGCCCCAACCTTAATTTTTAAAAAAATATTGAAATCTTTCTTTCTCTCTCTTTTTCCTTTTTTTTTTTTTTTTTTTTCTTAATGTATTTGGTATAGGATCTCATTACGCAGCTCAGACTTAAAGTGATCTTCCTGTTTCAGTCTCCTCAGTGCTGGGATTACATGTTTGCGCCACCATGCCCAGTCTTGGTAGCATGTGATACCGGGGATCAGACCTGGATCCTTGCACTGGCTTAGGCAGGCACTTAGACTGCTGAGCTATCTCCACTTTGACAAGGTTTTGCTATAAGGTCCAGGATGGCCTTGAACTTGCACTATAGCCCAGATGGGCCTCAGATCCTCTTGCCCCAGCCTCCTAAAATGCTCAGATTACAGGCATGTGCCATCATTAAAGCCTGGCTTCTATTTACTTTTGTATTATACCTTTGGAAGCTGTCCCACAGTTCCTGATTCTCTTCCTTTTCCTCCTCCATCTCCTCCTCATTCTACTTTGTTCTCTTTGTTTTTCTGATTTGTTTGGAAGTTTCTGCTGATAAATCTTCAAAGGCTGGGGTGATAGCTCAGTAGCATTAAGTGCCTGCCTGGCAAGCACAAGGTCCTGAGTTCGGTCCCTAGTACCCCCCACAAAAGATCTGATACATCTTCAGGCTTACAGATTCTTTCCTCAGCTATGTCTTGTCTACTACTAAGCCTATCAAAGATGTTCTTTATTATTGTTACACTGTCTTTGATCATTAGCATTTCTTTTTAAAATTTTCCATCTTTGCCTGCACTACCCATGTGTTCTTAAGTGCTGTGTTATCCAGAAAACCCTTAGCACATTAATCATGGTTGTTTTAAATTTTGGCCAGGTAATTCCTATACCTCTGCCATATTTGAGTCTGGTTCTGATAGTCTGTCTCTTCAAATGGATTTTTGGCTTTTAGTTTGCCTTATAATTTCTTCTCAGTAGCTGCATGTGATGTGCTAGATGAAAGGGATTGTGGTAAACAGACCATCAGTATATGGTGGCCAGATGTGCAGAGGAAAGGTCTTCTGGAGTCCTGTGATTAGGTCTCAGTCTTAGTGGGCCTGTGCCTCTGAACTGTTGGTTTCACAGGTGCTTCTCAGCCTTTTCCTCAGGTTGGGCAGGATGGTGAAAGTGGGCTGCATCTGGCGATTTCCGTTCTCCTGCATGGAAGCCTGGAGCGGGTTAGGGTTGACCATTTTCCTAGTTGAGGAGTCTCGGTAGGTTTGGCATGTAAAATTGCTTGGCAGTTGCCCTTGCTCAGAACACATGTTCTGGTGTTATTCAGAATGTGTGAGAAGACCTTCACTGTAAAAAGTTAGTAGAGCTCCTGGAGATAAAACCCAGCAAATTATGGGGGCCTCTGAGTCAGTGCCCCCTGAGCTCTTATCTCTCTCAACTTCCCTACTAACTTTCCATTTATAGGTCAGGTTTTCTTCTTTGGTGCTAGTTCCTACTGCTCAATCAGTGTCTGTTTTGTTGTAAGAACAGTTGTAATTGTTTGTATTCATCTGTCTCCCCAGTTTTGAAGGCAGCAGTGAACCCTAAGACTACCCTTCTCTGACAGAGCTAAGGAAAGAGTTACTGGGTGTTCAATTTGTTCAGCTTTTTACTTATTAGGGTAGAATGAAAAATTCTAAGCTTGTATGCCAGACTGGAAACTAGGAGTCTGCCCTGTCCTTGTTAACCTGGGTCTTGGCAAGGTGATAAGAAAGCCTGGGTGCTCTAGGATTCCTTTACTATCACATCCAGGCTCTGGTGTACATGAAGGAGCCCTCGCTGTAGCCCTTCCTTCTGCCCACCCATCTAGCTCTCTCGCACCAGTTTCAGATATGCTTGAGTATCTGATTTGATCTCCCCAGTAAGCTTTATATGTGTAGTAAGCCTTTCTATAACTTTTTAGGGCATGTTATCTGATTCAGCTTTAGGGTGAGGAAACTTATTCTCTATGAAGTATTCACAGCACCTTGCATGTGTAGAACATTCTAATGAATCAAGAAATCCACTGAAACTAGTAAACAAGTTTCAGCAAGGTCTCAAGGAAATAATGTGTCCAATGTAATCACAAAAGACAATCTGGAAATGAAATTAAGAAAATTATATCTCAACACTCATTCTACCTCAAAGAGCATCAAACAGAATATATTTCTTAAGAATATTTTATTTTTGGGGTGGGGAGATGGCTCAGTAGAATAAGCGCTTCTCTGGCAGGCACAAGGCACTGAGTTTAATCCCCAGTTCTGCCAAAAAAAAAAAAAAAAAAAAAAAAAGAATATTTTATTTTTTTAAAGATTGATTGATTGATAGATTTGGTACAGGGTCTCACTTCTTTTTGGAGACCACCTTTTTGGAGGCCAACTTACCAGAAATATGTATCATAGATTTCTAGACTCTTTCTGTCACACTCATTTAAAAGCCAAATCTATAAACTTGTTGAAAGAAAAAACAAAAATTTAAATATTACAGCCATTTTAAAAAGTTGATAATACTCTGGTTTCTCTTCAGATTGTATAAATTTTTCGCCTTTTAAAAAGTAGCTAAATTAGATTTCATCAAAATACTTAATTTTTGTGTTTCAGAAAAATACATTACTAAGAAAATAGAACAGTAAGCCAGATTGGGAGAAAATACTTAAAAATAAAGACTTGCATCTAGCAGGTAGAAAGAACTTGACAATTCAACAAGATGAAGACCAAAAAGTTTCAGTAGACATTTGAGTATAGAAACTATTTGAGTGTCCAAATGAGATGTTCAGCATCGTTAGACTTTAAGCCTAGTGAGGTACCACATGTTCTCATGAATGGCTGTGCCAAAGACAAGCACTGATAGTGGTGTAGTGGAGCTACATCTTCCTGTGTTGATGGTGGAGTGTGAACTGCTGCAGTCACTTTGGAATGGAGTTTGGCAGGTCCTTAAAAAGTTAAACGTAATTTATAATCTGTGCCTAAAAATCTACTCAAGAGAAATGAAAATATGTTCACACAAAGATTTATATGTGAATTTTTGTACCTGCATTATTCCCAAAGTGGAAACATCTCATGTTTTGGGCTAGTAAATGCAATATGGTAGATGTACCCAATGGGATATTTTCAGCAATAAAAAGGAACTGAATTAATGGGTACTGCCATATAATTAAACCTCAAAGACCTTGTTAAGAAACCAGGCCCAAAAGATGATAATGTATGATGCCAGTCCTATAGAATGTCCAGAACAGGTAACTCTTTGAGTGGGACAGTGCATCAGTGATTGCCAGAGATGATTTGGGGAACCAGGAGCAACTGCACGTGGACGCAAGAGACACATGTGCCAGGGTGGGAATGTTCAATAATTGAACATGATGATGACTACACACTAACTGCAATTAAATCTTTTACTGTAAGTCACTGTATTCTGCATTTAAATGAACTTTGTGGTGTGCAAATTATACCTCAAAACCCTTAAAATTACATTGACACAGGAGTGGGAAAAGCAATGCTTCAGAAAGAAATAAACACGGTTGTATTTATAGACTTTTTTTTTTTTTTTAATGTATTTGGTACTGGATCTCACTACACAGCTCACAGCTTGGACTCATAGTGATCCCCCTATTTTCAGCCTCCCCAGCGCTGGGATTACAGGTGTGCACCACTATGCCAGGTGCTCAGGGGTGGGGCTGGTGTGATAGATAAAATTTTAAAAGGTTGCTTGAAAAATTATTAATACTAATCACTAAAGTGTAAATATAGAAGTAGCCTTTTTCTATCCTAAAAATTCTTTGAAAAATAGTTACTTCTATAAGAGTAATAAAAATGAAAGTAAATAAAGTGTACAACTTATATGAAGTAAATTATCAATTATAAAAGAATCATAAAAACAGGGAAAGTTTATGGACAACTCAGTATTGTTCAACGTTGAAAGCATTTCAAATCGAAACTAGATTTTTCTAAGAAAAGAATTTGGTAGTGTTTAAAGCCTATCTAAAATGCTGACCCCGTGAGCCAGACATTTTCATGAACAATGAAGGCCCGGGCCTTGCAACTGCCAGAAGCTAAAATGCTAATTATGTTAACTCCAACAATGGGGGTATTGACAGATCTGTAGGATAGACTTCAAAGATCAAGAGCAAAACCAAGAATTGACAGCTACAGGATGAAACAGTGATTAGCTGGAAAATGATATCCAGTACAACAAAGTAAGACTAATTGAAGTGCTTTTGTTAAAAAGTCTGCAAAATACACGTAGAAAAATGTAAATAGCAGATTTCTGAGTGGGAAGACATTAAATGTGTGTGTGTATGTATGTATGTATATCATATATGTTTTTCAAACAAAAATTGAGCTATATGTGAAATTACTAAGCTTAGCCTCAAAAATTTTATTTATGTCATAAATACCACAGAAGACATTAAATATGATATGTGCATGTAATCAGCAAAAGCGCTGTGTAGCTGGGCCTGGTGGTATATGCCCAGAGTCTGAGACAGGATTCCAAGTACAAAGCCAGCTGGGCAACTTGAACCTTGTCTCAAAAAAGGAGGAGAGGGTGTTTGACCGGGGGGTAGCTTGGGGGCAGACCAGTTACCTAGCTTGCACAAAGCCCAGTGTTCAACAATACTGTTTTTAAAAAGGCCAGCCAGATAGCTCAGCGGACTAACACACCTGCTTAGGTAGAGCTCAGTGGCTGAGGTTCGGTTCCTGGTGTGCAGTGCTGGCCCTGCCCTTGGACATGCTGAGATGGTGACTGAGACTGGGCTGGCGGCGCACCTGTAATCCCAGCGCTTGGGAGACTGAAACAGGAGAATCACTACAAGTCCGATCTGTGTAGTGAGACCCTGTAGACCCTCTGCTAAAAACATAATGTGTTACTTTCTGAGTAGATTAAAGGTGATTTTTGTTCTTGCTAATTTTGAAAATTTTAAATATATAATAAAAAAATATATGCTCAGAATAGTATTATTTTCTTTCTTCAAATAATGTTCTTTAAAAAGTGTTGCCCCTGGGATAGCATTGGTTTAATAGTGCACAATATGGAGAAAATGAGGAGTAAGCAGTCTCAGTGGAAAGGAAGAGGTGCTCCCCCTGTGCAGCCTCCAGGTGGCACTGTAGGCCAAATCTTGTCCTGCAGACCATCCCAAGAGCCACAGTGTAATAGTGCAGGCAGGGTGAGGTGGGGGAAGGCATAAATGGTTGGGTCCAGCGAGGTTGGTTTTCATTGTTGTTTGGGGGCAGGGAGCACTTTCCTTGAAAAAGGAAGGCATGAAAGAGAGTAAAAGAAACCACAAATTTTTAAGGGGAAGTGGACAAAAATAAAGCAGAGTGAGAAGACAGGCTCTTTAGAAAGGGAGAAAGCCAGGCCATGGTGATGCATTGCTTACTTAGGAGAACTGTGTATTTTAAGTGGAATTCTGGTATTTACAGATGACTTAATGCTGCCTTTTCTTTTCAAATAGCTGTCACAGGAAGTGTTTTTAGAATAAACTTAGGCATGCGTGGCCTGGTGGCTGGTGGTATAATTGGAGCCTTGTTGGGGTAAGTGTTAACATGGTGTGATTCCAAACTGGTGCCTTTATTAATACCTTGCCTATTGAAAATACCATTCTGTGGACATACACACTTGTAACCCCAGCTCTGAGGCTGAGGCAGGAGGATCACCAGTTTGAGCCCAGCCTGGGCAACTTAGTGAGATCCTGCTCAATAAAAGCTAACGGGCTGAGAGTGTTGGTGTAGCACAGTGCTACACCCCCAGTGCTTCAAATATTTTTTGTTTTGTTTCATTTCCAAAGAACAAATTTAAACCTGAGAGCCTGTGAAAGACCTTTACTGTTACATTGGCAGTTGTCTTGATTGCCTGGTTGTGATTCTATTCTAGTTGTTTGTTTGACTCATGATTACCATAATAAATAATTTAATATTGATTCAATATAACATTCTTAAAATAGGATCCATATTTAAAACTACTCATTTACAATAATGCCCAGGATATGCCTCAGTTATTTTTTTATTTTCTTTTGTATGTATTTCTTTTTTATTTTATTTTTTTTCCATAATTTTATTGAGAAACAAATAGCAATGAGACAGTTTGAAACCAAATTGGTAGGACAGTTTCAATAATTAACACATTGCATATATTCTTCCTAGTGGTTAATTGCTGTACAAGATGCGGACATGATATCCTATTTACAAACACTATTAGAACAAATCCCTCTATTCATTAAGAGAATGTAACTATATATCTATCCTAACCACTTTGAATACACAGATATAAGATGGACATTCATCTGTATCCCCTTTTTTGGTTAAGTTCCATCATTTAAATATTATAGGTGTGTAAACTCATCCATAATAGTATTGGGTCTTCCGCTTGACTGGCAATGTCAGAAATTGTTGACCTGAGTCCCCTAATGCTCAACATAACACCATGGCTTTACTTCTTGTACTTCGTTTTTATATTTTTCTACTGGATGGTTAAGACCAAGGTAAAGCAGGACCTATGCAACAAGAGTTGTAGCTTTTGGGTCTGATAAGGTCAGTGAAATCCCTTCAGGATTTATCCTGAGATCTTGTACCTCAGATTGTAGAACCTTTGTCAGTGTCAGCCATGTGGATGAGTCACGGCCATTGCTTGGCCAATGTGCTCTCTGTGAAAGCCCGAGAGAATGTTTTTCTCCATGTGACTCTCCTTAGGCACACTCTACATCATCGATCACTTTCCTCTTTGGCCCCATAATCTCCTTGATCAGAAAATGTGGGACACTACCGAGTTACATGACATTACAGTACAAGTTCTCATATGTCCTGAGTCTTAATTGACCTTAGAAGGTTAGGGCCAAAATGTTGGCTTTCCTTTCAATGCTCCGTTTTCTCTAATTTTGGTATGCAAACTTAGGTTGTTAACCATCCAGAAGATAAGCTATTGTTATTACCATACAACTTAGGCTGTTAAGCTTAACCTCACTATTTATATGAATAACAAACATCTTAGGCATAACATGGAACAGGTATTTTTCATCAAGTATTGATTTGTTGAACTTTAAGTCCCTATAGAATATGATGAAAAAACATTTAAAATTAGAATATATTTTTTAAAAAGGCATAAAGAATTATATACTTCTTATGTTTATGCATAAGTCCAAAAATCTCACCATATACAACCTTGAAGCAGGATAGTTCCACTATATTCTTTTTCCTATCTCTTGCCTTCATTCACCACCCCTTTCTTTTTGAACAATCATCTACCCGAGAGATAGCACAGCAGCAGCCTCAGTTATTTTTGATTGTCCCCTCATGATTACCTTGAGGGGATGACAGGGTAGCAGGTGCCATGTGCATATCACTTGAAGAGCCACATTACATCATCCATTACGAGTAATGCTTGAGTATTTGTCATCTTCACTTTATGTTGCTCAGATCTCCCTGAGTTGAGCAGCTTACAGCATCCCCCATTTATTATCCCGCAGCTCTGCAGATGAGAAGTCTGGGTGGTCCAGATGGGTTCTGTGCTTAGGGTTCCTTGAGGTCCAAAGCGTGGTGCCAATCAGGCTGCTTCTGACCCTGAGGCTGTTGATAAATCCACTTGATGGGATTCTGGCCTGAGGTCCCTGCTTCCTTGCTGGGTGCTCTGTCCCTAGAGGCCACCTACATCACCTGCATGGGGCTCACTGTGTTCAAGCCAGCACCAGTATCTTGGACTTTTCCTTCACACACTTCGAATCTTGTGCTTCCACTCTGCCTAAGAAAGCTGGTTTGTATTATTTGTTTGCTTATTCATTTACTTATTCCTTTGTTTTTTGGGTTTTTGAGACAGGATCTCACTGTGTACTCCAGGCTGACTTTTACCTTGCTACGTCGTAGCCTAGGGTAGTCTAACTTTCAGTCCTCCTATGTCAGCTTCCTGGTTATAGGTGTCTACCTATAACCCAACTATGGGTTAATGCCCAACTAGTACATACTTTATCTACTCTGTGGTGGACATATGAGTTACTTCCACTTAGCAAAAATTGTTTTCAAATGAAATTACTTAAGTGGTAGCCAAAGGGAATTTAAGTTATGCCAAAGTCTAAAACTGCTTCTCTTTGAGAGGCCAAGAAACAAAGTCTCACGTCACTGTGATTATTACCATCTAAATTAGTTCCTCAGTGTGTAACTGCTTTGTAGCTGAGACAGTTGTGGTACAGTCTTGATTTGTACACTGTTTGGTAGTCTGCCTGCTCTACCCCCCTGCATCTGTCCCCTCATGGAACATGCCTTCTGCAGTTCCTGTCCCCTGGGAGGACTGGTGCCGCTGTGAACTAGTAATCGCATTTCTGTGAAGCCTTCCATTTAGACCTGCTTCCGAGAGCTGGTCATAAATCTACATACTCTCTGTATGCCCTGGTTTATTTTTCATTCATGATTTTTTTTAAAAAACAGTCCATTTCTTTATTTCTTTTTTTTTAAATTCCAGTTGTTAGGAAGTTGAGTGGTTGTCTCTGTTGTTTGGGCCAGGAAGGAGATTGTCTTATTTTTTATTCAAAAAAGACTCTGTCAGACATCCTGTGTCTGATAGTGATGTGTTGGCTGTGAGTTGTCGCACAGTCCAGGTGTTCACAGTCACAGCGCAAAAAGCTTGGTATCCCTGAGCTTTCCCTCTGCTTTCCCACAGTGCTCCTGTGGGAAGCCTGTTGATGGTGCTTCAGAAGTACTACGGCGAGACAGTTCAGGAGAGGAAGCAGAAGGACCGACAGGCCGAGCATGAGCGGAAGCTGGAAGAGTGGTAAGGAGCTGGAGGACCAGCTGCCCCGGCCACAGCTGCATTGCTGGCACGCCCCTGAGCCATGTGCCCCAGGTGCCGCTTGGTTCAAAGAAAAGTCTGTTTTGACCGGGTCCTTTACTCACGTCCTTCCTGTCTTTCAGTGTATTTAATTAAGAGATGCCAATTTTATTTTTAATGTGATGAGGATCCTTAGACATTTTTTAAAAAAAGTTAAAGTGCTATAAATGTACTTTTTTGTTGGTACTGGGCATTAAACCCAGGACCTTGCACTTGGCAGGCAAGCGCTATGCCTCTGAGCTATAGCCTCAGCCTGTAAATGTACTTGGTTGCATTTTTTTCCCTTTCTTTTGTGTGTGTGTCCTTGAGCAGCCTTAGGAATTCCCTAAGGGAACACACACCAAGGGGTGAACTTTACTTGTCTTGTGTAAAAAGAGTGTCATCCTCTTTGTCTTAGTAACTTTTCTCGTTGCTGAGACAAAATACCTGACACCTTGAGTAGAATTTTCAGCCCATTTTGGCTGACTCCAAGGCAGTGTGGCACTTGGTAGAGTTCATGACAGTGGAAGATAGCAAAAAAAAACAAGGGGAAGAAAAGCCACTTTCTGACCCTTTTATTTTATCCAGAGTACCAGGATTAGGGCAGGGGCAGACTGCTGATTCAGTAATCACACATCCTAATCACACCATCACATAGTCTAGATTCAGCCATCTCTAAAATGCCCCCATGGCCCCCTGTGGCTTTGAGGGGACATCTAGACAAACTCTCACACCCTGTAGTGCTAACATACGGAGCTTCTGCTTCCTGCTGCAGACTGAGATGAATGAAGCAGACAGAGCGGCAGGGGGCGCCGCTGAGGAGCACAGAAACTTGTGTGTTTCACCTCATCATTTCCTGGGTGGGAAGGGGTCATGAGACTGATGCAGACTGCAGATTCTAAGTAAGATCAGCATGACAGGCCGCTGTCTAGTGGACCTAGTGGGTGCTGCGTAGGAAGGATTCTCGCAGTCGGCTTCCTGGGTACCTGTGAGGGCTGCCGCTGCTGCTGCTGTTTTGGTAACTGGTAGACAAGCAATCATTTTTTTCCATTGTTTTTATTTGAAAGCTTTATTTGTGTTAAAAACATGTATGCATACAAATTCTTAATTCCTACAGTTCTGCTGTCTGTGAACCATAGGAGAAAAAGCACTGATTTTGGAGCCAGTGGATCCTTGCAGACTGGGCCTAACTCCCAGCTAGACTATGAATTAGTTCTGTGACTTTATTTCCTTTAATTTCAAGCCTTTGGCTTTTTCAGCTGCTCTGGAGCAGAATTTATCGCAACGCCCAATAATTATTTTCATGGTCATAGCATACAGTTATGTAGGTTCCAGAATGGAGCACTTAAAATTCTCAAAACCAGCAAAATTGGTTGTTTTGGAAAATTAAAAGCATAAAAGCATCAGCTTATTTCTTATTTCCTAGATGTTATAAGAAACTTCTTTTTCGATAAGCAAGTTTTGAGAAAGAGGCTAGAAATAAAAGGAAAATTTCTCTATTGGTCCCTGATGTAGGATGTTATGGAAAAGTTTAACATTTTGGAATATGTGAACAGATGATAACTACAGTCTAATAGAACTGAGAAAACCTACAAAAATTGATCAGTAACTTAGAATTTTAAAACCTTAAGGATGGGTAAAAGTGATAATTAATTACAGTGTGCCTTAGATCATAAACTTAATTTTGTTCCATGGTTCTGGAAAAGATAGCTGCTGTTGTGTTTATCACCTGATGGAGAATTTATAAACAAAAACAAAATTTTGCCAAATGCCTCTTTTTGTGAACCCACACATTTGTGAACTGAGGTACCAGCACAGATTAATGAAAGGATGTTTACAAAAGGAAATAATGTTAAAAAGATATAGCTTTTATAGATATTTGGTATTTGTATATGTGTGTTACTTCTATGGAGAATTAGTTTAATACATGTTTATGTACCTTCTGTGCATCTGCTGCTTTACTTGAAAATAATACAGGGAAATCAGAGGTTCAGAAATTTCCTTACTTAGCAGAAATACAAAAAGTGGTTATAGGGATATGGAAGAAAAAATGGTCATCTGGTTGAGTTGCATTGAGAAGAAAGTTATTAGTTGTCCTGATAATCACTTAAAGAAAGGAAGATATAGTACTAATAGTTGATTTAGAAAAAGAAGTGATCTATTATTATATAGAAATTAGAGGAGGCTAGGGAGATAGCTCAGTGGAATAAGTGCTTGCCTGGCAAGTGCAAGGTTCTGAGTTTAATCCCTGTTACCACAGGAAAAAAAAGAAAAAGAAATTAGACTCGAACTCTTCATAAATGTACAACTATAGTGTTGTCTTACTTGACTTCTCTCTTCCTGGATCACCGTTAAAAGCTTTTGTCCAGTTTGTATGAAGTCTGATGAGAATTTATAGAGCAGCAGGATGCTCACATTCCTCCAGTTCAGGGACAAGAGGATGACCCAACTTGGAGACCTATACATGGAATGTCAACTTCCTTACACTCCATCTAGCACTGTGGGGTCTGGGATGCTGGAATATCTTAGGGATCAGAGCTACTGTCATAACAGTGTCCATTTGGGTAATGTGGGAATTGTGGTTGGCTTGTTTCTTGATCAACTTTCTATCTCTTTGACATAATAGCCGGGTAGAAAAAGGCAAAAAGTTTTACTTTGGCTCATGGTTTCAGAGGTTTCAGTCCATGGTCAGCTGACTCTGGTCCTTTCAGGCCTATGTTGAGGCAGAAACATCATGGGGAGGGGCGTGGCAGCCAGGAAGCAGAAAGAGCGAGCCAGAGTGTGTTATGGGACAAAATGCACCTTCAAAACCATGTTTTAAGGACCTGCTCTCGACTTAGGTCCTATCCTAAGTAGCCAATTCAGCTAATGAGTTCATTGAAGGTTTACCCAGTTGCTTCCCAAAGCCCATCAGTTGGCTCGCAAGCCTTCAACACAGCCTCTTGGGGAACATTTTGGATCCTAGCCATAGCTGCTCATGAGTGCTAGTACAGAGCAAGGAAAGTCATTGTATTTGAAGTGCAGGGAGCAGTGTTTGCTCTTCCATTTGTCACATGAGAGCAGGGACAATAAGACAAATACTGCCTTAAATCTCTCTGAGAACTTTTACTTCTTTGATTATAGGAGAGCCAGGCTGCAGCTCACAGAACTCCTCCCTCAGGAGATCGAAAGTAATTTACAGAAAAATCAATCCCAGGAAGATGCTGAGAGAATTGAAACCCTGCTGAGCCTCCCTAGAAACCCTTCACCAGATAAACAGGGCGAGGACTGAGAATATTCTGGAACTGAATTACCTGGGGGCATTGCAAGCATCTGTGTGGCCATGTCTGGATGCCGGTGGTACAACATTTTTACATCAGCCTGCAACAGGCATAAGGGCTGGCACCTGCAGTGGCAGTGATGTTTTTTTAAGAATTCCGGAGAACTGGGCTACTGTACTCTCACTTGTCCTTAAATTTAAATTCATACTTAAATCTACATTCATCTATTGATCTTTACCCTGAATCTTATAAAAGTTACTAAAATGTCTCCCAAAAGATTAAAGTTGAACTCCACGGGTTCTGTGTTTGCTCATGTAGTCTTTTTAAAGTGTTCTCTGGGAATGACTGGGAGGCAAGGAAAGAACAAGGAAGGTGAAGAGCTTGGGGAATCAGGTCCTGGAAGCAGTGAAGGCCTAAACCCATAGTGGTGCTGGTCTGTTTCAGCAAGGATCAAAGATGACAACTGCCATTTGAGCTAAAATAGGTCAACATTATAACATACTCCAATTTGCAAGACATTGATGCTTGTAGTATGCAGGAACTGCTGGAAGAAACACCATCCCTGCATGCAAGAGTTTGCTGCCTAAGAAGGACAACACCTTGTGATTTCAAAAGTTATTACATGAAGAGACGGATGACAGAATGAAGTATACATTAGCCCTTCATTGCAGTTTTGCTTTCTGCAGCTCAGTTACTGTGAACCAAAAATATTACATGAAAGATTACAGAAATAAATCATAGATCTTAGATGATATGCATTTGTACGTGTGTGTGTGTGCATGCATGTGTGTTTGTGTGTATGTGTGGTACTGGAGATTGAACCCAAAGCTTTGTGCATACTAGTCAAGTGCTTTACTGCTGAACTACACCTTCATCCTCAATCATATGAATTTCTGAATAACATGATAGAGTTCAAGCCATGCTCCTGTATGGGTCCATCGTTCCTGTATCCAGCACATTTACAATGTGTACTCTACCAACTCTTGACATTGAGGAGCATTTTTGGTTATCAGAGCACAGTGCTTGTCTTCAGATAACTCTTGCATCACTTATTAATGCCCCCCAAACACAAGAGTAGTGATGCCACCAATTCAGATGTGTCAGAAGCTGGAGAGCGTTTCCAGTATGCAAAACATGGAACATTCTGGGTGACGAGCCCCGCCTGTGCTTCCTAGGCATATGTTCACAGGTCTTGGAGCCTGTGCCAAGGGAGATGGACTGTGTGATGGGGGATCTGCTGCTATTTTGTTTTGGTGTTGAGCCTCTACTTCTACTCTTAAGACTACTCTTGTCCCCTAGAAACAAGCATAATCTAGCTAAAATTATGGTTTCCAGAGAGAGATCACTGGCTCATCTAGGCAGTTTAGTAGCTATAAGGTTCTCTGGCACAAAAGAGAAGAGGAAGCAAAGAAATCCTTTATTGCCCAGTGCTGAGGGGAGAGGGGGGTGGTTGCTGAAGAGAATCAAGGACCCTCTGGGAGGAGGAAGGCTGGCAAAGAATTTATCAGGCTGGGTTGGGGGTGGAGCTTGTATGGGCAGTACTGTGTCCTAACAGGAACAACAAAAGGGGAAGTCTGCAGTTGGGGTGGGGGGATTGAAGTCAGTCTAGGAGCAGCTCCTCTTTGGTTTTGGGATCCCCCTTGCCACTGTCTAGCCGCCATGATGATCTGGGGACCACTGCATGGGCACAGACCCATCAGTAGCCATGTGATAGATAGCAAAACCTTTGTACTTGAAGTCTCGGTTTTCTCATCTGCTAAGAGTAGTAGTATCTAGCCAGGGTTGTACTTCTGGGTTCAGTGTTACAGTAATAGTGGGCAGTACCGTGCGCCTTCTGCACCGCCTTCCTTCCTGTCTGTCTATTCATGGCTCTGGCCTCTGGGTGAGGATGTCATTGAAGATGAAGGAGCTCACCAACTTCTAACCAGGTAGAGAAGGACATCTCAACTCATCTAAGACGACGCCATGGACAACAATTTCCTGTACACCAAGTCAAGTGTTATCCAGAAGAACATCAACAACCCTGCCATAGTTGATGTTTCACAGAGCACATGCACCAGGTAGTGGTGGCCAAGTACACACTTTGCCTTTGGAGATAATCATGGCCATATGAGGACTAACAACCAGATCATTGTATGGGTTTCCAGAGCCCTGCACAGGGGAGAATAATTCCTGAATAAAAGAATGAACCACTGGGAGCATCCTCTTCGTATCTGGACAAAGTTTTATCAACCTGCTGCCAGCTTTTAGAGGGTGCAGGACCTCTATCCAAGTATTTGAAACCCACAGTATCCCCAGAATCATTATTTCTGTTACTGAGGTTGTAATTTGAGAAAGATACAGACTCAAAGTTTAATAAGCTGGAGTTGTAGCCAATGAGAAAGGGAGCTATGTATGTCGTAGCTAATAAGTGGCTGGAGGAAGTGACGTAAATGGAAGTGCAATACACTGCCCAGGAAGCTTGGTAAATACCTGATCAGTTCTCTGGAGCTGTGAGAAGAAGAATTGAAGGCAAGATGTTAGAAAGGAAAGTTCTAAATAAATCCTGCCTGACTTTGACCCCTTTAAGGTCTCCAAGCTCAAACTCCCCAAGGACTGGCAGTATGTGATGTGGCTGATGGCCCTCTTCAACATGAGGTGTAAGATGTGCGGGAATATGTCTACAGGGGAAAGAACTTCAATGCCCACAAGGAGATGGTGCACAACGAGACATACCTGGGCCTTCCCATCTTCAGTTCTACATCAAGTGCACCCACTGCCTGGTGAAGATGATATTTAAGACAGACCCCGAGAACACAGACTACACCATGGAATGGCACTATCAGGAACTTTCCGGCCAAGAAGCAAGTGTAGAAGGAGCTGGAGGACAAGGAGCTGTGCAGCCCCACGAAGGTGCTAGAGAACCGCCTGAAGGACGTGAAGCTGGAGATGGCGCTGCTAGAGAACCTGCAAGGGCTCAAGGACCTGAACCAGTGGCAGGCGCACATGGACTTTGAAGCCATGCTGCAGCAGCTCTAGTTGTCAGAGGGGGAGCTGCATTCGCTGCAGCAGGAGGAGGATGAGTGTGAGACTGTGGCATTCTTGGCGGATGCTTAGAAGTAAAGGCTGCTGGAGGACTTGGACTTGGAGGATGAAGCAGCACCTAGCCTACCAGCCCTGTGGTCCCAGCCATCACCAACTTGCATGAGGCCTCAAACACCAAGAGGAAATTGGAGGGTGTGGGCAGCAGGTCGCAGCTCTCTGGCTTGGTGGTAAAGAAGATAAAGACAGAAGCAGAGGCACTGGCACCCCGCAGCCACCTGAAGCCTCCTTCCTGAGCCAGGTGGGAGCTTATGGGTACAGTGAGGACAGTGACAACATCTGACCTCACTACCCCTCCCCAGCCACAGGGATCACAGCTGCAGGCAGGCAGGCATGAGGCCTCTACACCTCCCACAACTACCATGGACTCATTGTCCCTCCTGTTCACAGCTCCTCCTGCCCCTCCTGGCATGGGCTGTGTCTCTATCCCTTGCACACACACACAGCCAGTTGGAACGCAATAGAAGGTTCTGTGGGCTGGTTATCCACCCTGTGTGAGTTCTGGAAGCCAGTGAGGCCTTTGTGCACACAATTCTGGATAGAGGCCCATGTGGCATTGGTGAGGGTCTAGGTTGGGGCCACAGCACAGCTGTTGGGTTCATCTGACTCATGACAGAGTGGCCAGGATGTCATGGCTCCCACCTCTGCAAGCCCAGGGACCCACAGCTTTGCCGCGTCATAGCACAGGCATCATGGAGTGTGGAAAGAGGTTGGGTGTGCAGGGGCTAGGTCTGCTTTCTCCTTTGGTTTTTTTCTTAATGATACTGGAGATTGAACCCAGGTGCTTTATCCTGGCCCCATCCCCAACCTTTATATTTTTTGAGACAGTCTGCTGAATTGCCCAGGTTGGGGTTGACTTTGTCATCTTCCTGCCTCAGCCTCCCAGAGTCCTGGGGTGACAGGTGTGCCACCACACCCAACTATATTGTTCTGTTTGATTCTTGTTGTTCCTGGGAAACTTCGCTCTTCACATCAGTCCTCAGAGCAGCTTTGTTCTCAGCCCCCAGCTCCCATGCAGGGTCCCTAGCAGAGAGCAGATGGAGGAACAGGCTGGGATCTGTTTGTTTCCCAGCTCCCTGGGCCTTCCCGGCATTCCCTTGCTCTCCTGCCCGTCCCTGTCAATGCTGACACTGCCCACAATGCCAGGTAAAGGAGCTGTTATCCTGTCTTCCCAAAAGAAACATTTAGTGACAGTATCAACTCTTATACCCAAACTAATCTGACTTTAAACCTGTCTAGTTCCTCTCTTTCTAAGCTGGACCCTTTAATGGTTAAGGAGATCAAATTCAAACTACCCTGCATCAGACAATCATTGATCTCAGCGTAAGTAGTTAAAATTATCAACATGAAAAACATGGGTCCCTAGACCCATGTTTTGAGCTCAGCTGTTGCCATAGGACCATCTCAACAGAAGAAAGGAGCCATTTAGCCTCAGACCATGCAGGGTTTTTCTGTGCTGACATGCTTGCTAACAGTGGCCCTCATTCTGCTTTTCCTGTCTGTGGTCCATGCAACATAGCTCTCAGCTTGAGTGTCCTCGAAGAACAAGCACTCACCAAACTCTTTGCCAGTCCCTGAAGATAACAGGAGGTCAGGAGCCTCAGGCAGTATCTAAGTCATTGGTGACTATTTTTAGTCTAGGGATAGATTTATGTTGGGTGCTTTTTTTAAAATTATTATTTTTTAATTTAGAGTTTTTGTAGCCTTCAAGCCTTGAACACCTAAAATGACTATGGAAAGAAAAAAATGCAAAACTAAAGAGAGGCTTTGTTAAGTTCCCCCATTTACAAACATTCAGTTTGAAAACTTAGATATGAAGGGATGTAGCATTATGAACAGTTATAGATGCAAACAAACATCTAAAAGCCCATTAAAAATCAACTGGCATGAGGATTCAGCTGCCACCATGAATGGAGTTTTGAAGAGCTTTTGCTTATAATTATAAAGTTCATGGATTTAAGTTGTGTAGGATATATGAAAGGTGTTTGACAACTTAATGACCCTTAGCTAGAAGGAGCTACAACTTCTTGCTGTGGAACATAAGGAGCTTACAGATGAAGTCTTATGCAATTAGATACCCAGTTAGAAGGTAAAGGGCCAAAGAGATAGCTTAGTGGACTAAAGCACCTGCTTAGGCAAGGTTATGCAAGCACAGGGAATAAGGTTAGATCCCCGCCACCACATGCTGCACCAGCCCTGCCCCGAGGGTTAGCTGAGCCAGCCACAGAGTCCAGGTATAGTGGTGCATGCCTGTAATCGCAGCACTGAGGAGGCTGAAAACAAGAGGATCACTACGAGCCCAAGCTGCTTAGTGAGACCCTCTAACAATGTGTTAAAAAAGAAAAGAGAAAAGAAAGATTTAATTGAAGAGATTCACAACACAGGAAATGGCGAGGGGATTTTCTTGACTTGATGGGCACTGGTTGAGGCACAGAACTCCAGCATAGAGTGATACCCAAAGTTAGCAGCAGCCATTCATAATGCCATCCAGTGACACGGAATCCTCTGAGAAAAGTTACTGCTCAGCCATTACTGGATCATTTCCAAGAGCATAGACAATTGAATAAAAAACCCTGTGTCATCAACATTAGATGTGGGCCAAGTCCCATCTTGCCTTCCATTCTACTGTTGGTTCTCCATGTCCACCATTTCCCACCCCTTCCCCCGTCCGGTTAGCAACGCTTGTTCCTTCATGCCACGCAATCCCCTGTATACCACTTGTACTGTACTATATCACCATTTTAAGGCAACTAAAATTGTATTATTTGTGTTTGACTTAATGTTTTACACTTGTACATGTGTCAAAGGCTTATTAAAACTCACTTTGTCAGACTTATGAACAGAACTCGCTCATAAGTTGAGGACTTAACTGTAGTAAAAATCACTCCAAGAGGCCTAGACATAGTCTTTGGAGAGACTGAACAGAATGGAAAAACCATTATGTATTCTGTGTAGTGAAAGTGTATGTTGCACAGCAAGTGGAATTGGCATTTGACACCAACCACAGAAGTGTTGCAACTTGGTAAAACTGAAAATTTATTGTAAGGAAACTGAAGAAGTATTCCCAGTATCTTAGTTTTTGCAGCTATCTTAAATCATTGGACAGCTGCATCTATGCAAAATTCACGGTGCATAGCAAATTATGATAAGCCTCTCTGATGGGATTTTATCAAAACAGCCATGTTATCTGGGGGTTATCCCTTCATTTTTTTAAAAAAAATTTATTAGTTTTAATGAGAAATAGCAATGAGACAGTTTCAAAACAGGTTAGTAGGACAGTTACAATAATTAATACATTGCATATTGTCTTCGTAGTACTTATTCAGAGTACAAGATACAGACATGATATCTTGTCTAAACACTTAGTACAAATCCTTCTTTTCATTGAACTAAGAGAAAGTAGCTGTATATCTATTCAACTATTTTGCATATAGTATGTAAGTACTCTTTCATTTAAAAAAGGATAAAATTACACAATGCATTATCAGGATCCACCTAGCAGACTTAAAGAGTGAGTGCTGTGCTTGACAAATGTCAGCAGCTCACCACTGCACGTTTTGAAAGACCTTGATAGTGGGCAGCTAAAATATTTTATGTCTAAAAATGCATTTAGAAAGTCCTGCTACACTTGCAGACAATCCTACAAGCCATCAGGAAATGTACAAGGAATTTTCTAGCATTGTAGCAGCTGCAAAGGAAAGTTTCAGTAATGATTTTTGCAGTTCCTTAAAATGGAGACAACCGGGGGTTTCTTCTCCAGATAAAGGCAATTGCTCTTTCCTGCTTCTACTGGTTATATTGTGGAAAACTGGAAATGGAGCTAGTGGACTTTGAAGAAAAGGCTGACTGGAAAAGTAAATTCTATGACCTGTGTGCAACATTTAAGATAGTGAGAAGGGATGACAAGAACAGCACAGCTGGTAGTTCTGAAAATTACATTACCTGGAATGGGGAATTTTGTGCCAAATAATTTTAAGTCAGTGAAAGCACTTGTGATTTTTTCTTCCTTTGTTTGGATCATCTTATGTTTGCATGCAGCTATTTTCAGCTTTGAATTATATCAAATCTGATACAAGAAACAGACTAACAGATAACCCAAGTGTTGTATTATTCTCAAACTACACAGGTAGGTATGAGCTGAAGTTTGGCAAATTATCAACATGAATAAAACAGCAAAGAGCACATTAATTGTGCAAAGCCATGCCAAATGCAAACTTTCACTTCTCAGTAAACAGCTTTTTTTTTTTTTTTTTTTTTTTTTGGTGGCCCCCTCAGCCCACCCTGGGGGTGGGGCTGGCGTGGCATGTGATGCCAGGGAGCTAACCACCATCTTTGCACTTGCCTGAGCTTGCCTAAGCAGGTGTTTTAGACTGCTGAGCTATTTCATTGACCTAAACAGCTATGTTATAAAAAAAAAAAAAAAATAGTATCTGAGAGTAGTTACTTGTTTGTATGGAGTGTGATACCATGACGTATTTTGTCTTTGTCCCTGACATATAACTGCTAAAGTCCCTGGAGACTCTGAAATAACAGTGTCTCTGTGGATACTAAGCTGAATGATGGCTGGCAGCCTCAGCAGAAGGGGGGCTGCTGGCCCAAAAGACCAGAGCAAAGTGAGAGGATAGGCACTTGCAGTCCTTCCACAAAAGCTCTGGTAAAGGGAATGAACCAGAGGTTGAGCTGACTGTAAAAACCCCAAAAGGTGGGGTTTGGAGAGCTTCTGGACAACTGAACATGGAGTTTCCTGGAGATTGGCCTTTGCAGAGAGCAGGAGAGCCTGGAAACTTCCTTCACTTTCCTCAGACCTAGCCTAAGCACCTGCTCCTCTGTACCCTACCCTTCTTTAATGTCCTTCCTAACAAGCCAGTAAATGTTTCCCTGAGATCTTTGAGCCACTCAGGCAAACTAATCAAATCCAAGGATGGGCTTGTGGGAACCTAGCTTCATAGTGATTGGTCAGAAAGAGTAATAAAACAACTCAAGACTTGTGATTAGCACCTAAGGTGGGGCAGTCTTAAGGGACAGCCCTCAACCCATGGATCTAAGGCTAGCTCTGGGTAGACACTGTCAGAACTGGGTTGGATTAGAGAAAATCTATTTCATGTTCACTGCAGAACAAACTGCTTGCTTTCTGCTTGGGAAAAACCGTATCTTTGGGGTCATAGGAATCTATATCAATTGGTAGGAAAGTAGAGGGCAAAAACAGTCACTCCAACAGAAACTCATTAAACTCAATGTTCTGGCACATGGGCATTCCATAATAATAATGAGTAATAGTAGCTACAAGGGTACAAAGGCCTCTGTACCAGTATATTGCATGTATGATTTACATATTACTACTATACTTCACAAGGCATTTTTTAACTTAATTTATAAATCACTGACCAATTGGCAGCATCCCAGGCAAATCTATTCATTGTCCTTGTCACAATCACACATTGATTAAACCTTTCAACTAGAAATTATAAAACTAGAGAGTTGCTTTTCAAAATAAATTTATTCATATCACAGAAATATCAAAATAATAAAAGTAAAATGCAACTTTTAAAAAGTAGAACCAACACATTTATCAAATGTAATAAGTAATAATTTATTTTAATCATTACACTGTTCCTCCGACTTAACTTTGTAATTCTTTTTCAGGTGTTCTTTTGATCACATCTAAAGATTATGACTCTTGGTTCTATACTGTAGTTATTGGATTATTTGGTGTTTTTTTTTTTCCTTTGCTTTAAGTTCTTTATTTTCTTCAGTGATTTAATGGGTTTGAGCAGACCCATTTCAAAGTATGCCTATATTTCTTCTGCAGAATAGAATCTGCCCCTCTTAGAGTTCCCAAAACAAAACATTTTAAATACAACCACACTGGAGAAACTTGGTCACCCCTTCCTGTTCAATGACACATTTTCAGGTAAGAATATCATTCTCCCAGTTACAGTTGGGTCTGCTCCTAGTCCACTAGTTTCAGAAGGCCTTTTCAGAGAAAGAATGGGGAATGAAACAGGAACAGCAGTGGGCTATTTCTTTTCAGTTCTCTGCTGATGTCAGAGGACCCAGAAATATGAACGAGGTCTAAGGAAGCCCCATCAAAGGCAATAATTATTTTTGAAGATAGCTTACTACTCAGTAAAAAACTATCTCACCTTAAATGAGAACTTTCTCATAAATATTTCACAAATGAGGCCAAACTAGCCTCAAGCTGTTTAAAGAGGTTATCAGTCCAATATGAACCACAGACCATGAATATTTATTTACATGCTCCCTCTCCAACCGTGTGATAGCAGGGGATGAAAAGGATCATCTTTGTTCTTTTTCAAGGAAATTTGTCTTGTATAGTTCATTGAAGATGGGAAAGAGCACCAGAAAATCTGAGTTGAGGCTCTGGCTTTCACAATACAGGCCCTTTTCCTGGGCTTTCTTATTCTCCCTTTGGACATGAAGAAGCCTTCCTGTGTAAGTCCAGTCCTCAAGGTCACCAGAGCTCCTGTAGCATCCACACAGCATCCCACTAGTTTGCTCCTGCAGAGCCACAGAGGCGAAGAGCTTTGTCCTAGAGCCCAGGCAGGATTGTCCTGGCTATCTGAAGACATTTCTAGAAGAAGTCAATGAGTCCCACAGAAGCAAGTGGGACCTGAGGAAATAATGAATAAATGAGTACTTAAATTTGCAAGAGAGAACATATTAAAATTGTACATATTTTTAAACCTTAAGGTCAAGCGTATTCCAAACTTGAAGTCATACCATAGATACCAATTTTGCCAGCTAAGGCATATGAAGGGAGAGTTACAGAATTTAGAATTAGTTAATTTTTACAACATGAAATACTTAACAAGCAAATGTTCATCATGCACCAACTGCCACTAAACAAAATTGCTGTCTACCAAGGCACTCTTCTCTATGTAGAGCAAGGCCTGCTTTTCTCAACATGCCTACAGTGTAGGAAATTATATAAAGCAGGGATCATGAAAATAAACCCAAATGGTGTGTTGTGCTATACAGAAGTTCAGAGGCAGAATGACTTCAGCTTGAAAAGGTGGTCACACAAGGCTTCATATAGAAGATTTGATTCATGATTCATGGTTTCAATATGAAGCATCATATTGACCAGAAGACTTTTTTTTCCCTACAGTACTAGGAATTGAACATAGGGGACTTTGAACTGAGCTACATCCCCAGTCCCTTTCTTTTCATTTTTCTTATTTTGAGAAAGACTCTTGCCAAGTTGCTAAGTTGCATGAACTAAGCTCAAATCTGTGATCCTCCTGCCCCAGCCTCTGAAAGTGCTGGAATTACAAATGTGCACCACGTCTTGCTGACCAAAAGGTTTTTAGGACAGAGGTAAAATCAGGAAAGTTCTACTTAATCACAGAACAGAGGAGGAGGAACATCCTACAAATTGCATCTTAAAAAGTGAGCACTTATATTAAAATGAAAACAGGATAGGAATTTGAGAGACTGCTTTGGAGCAAGTACAATGGGCGACCGTTGTGACCAGGCAAAGGGCTTGCTGTGCTGTTTGTATTCTGGCTGGCTCCTGAGCCATTTGACATTATGCATGTCACTCAACTTTGGGGCAGTTCGAGTTTCTCTCCCATAAAGATGAGTGTGGAAAAAATACCATGTGTTGTAAGATTAAGATGAAACAATTTCATTTTCCTATAAAGGCAATTTAGCAGACACTCATTTCTTATACTGGTGTTACCCCAAACTTCTGAGTCAAAGTGAGAGTGTTTACAGAGGTTGTAACTACTCTGAGTCTGCTATTAGTCTCAGACTCAATGTTCATTTTTTTTTTCTTATGTGAAAACACCAGGGGTTTTTAGGAGAACACTAAGTTGATTTAAGTTAAGTGTGACTGTCACCAGAGCTAGTGCCATGTTACCTCTTTCATTTGAGACAGTAGTTATTCCACGGCACATAGAATAATATTTTATAATTATTTCTTTGCATAATGGATAATGAATAATGTTTTCTAATTGCATGTAAAAATGGGTTCATTTGAGACAGTAATTATGCCATTGCACACACAGACAGCAAGTCCAGTTCTAAGCCTTGGACTGCATCTAGTCTGTTCATATGAAGCATATGGGGATGGCCACAGGACAAACAGTGGAAAGAAAGAAGGACCTACAGACTAGTGAGAATAGCTGGAATGAAGAGGGTTAAAAGTTTTGAAGGTTTTCCTGTAGCCCCTGAGATGTTTGAGTGGGAAATGACATGGCAGAACAACTCTTTATGAAGTCTGGCTCAGGAACTGGTCAGTAGGATGGGTGTGCCTGTGAAGGACAGAGAGATCAAAAATGGTGTTACCATGTTGGCACAAAATGCTGCCAGTCTGTATCCATCAACAGAGACACAGGGAAAAAATGAATGATTAGAATAAGAAGGTAGCCCGGGAAAATTAAGTGTTTGGCAAATAATGAAAGCTGGCTGAGAAGAAGGAATATTTAAGATGGCAGAATGGCACAGTAAAGTCAGAGGTTGCAAAGGCAAAGTGCACCTGGGGAGATAGGAGGAGAACACTAAACATCCTGTATCTGTTCAGAGTAATAGCAAGGAAATTTTTGAAGTGAGGTGACAAGTAAAAAAAGAGCTTGAATTTTATACTCAAAGGAAGATTGTGCCTCACAATAGACATGATGACATGTTCAAAATTGGTTAAGATTTGCTAAAGGAAGCTACCTTCAGACACTCTATTCAGCCTGACGCTGCTCATTTTCACTATAGATAGTCCTCATTTGCCAGCTTGCCTCGTTCCTTCTTGTTTCTCTCCATCTTGGGGCAGACCCTTGGAGATAAGATGAACAATAAAATTGTTAGCTGAGTTTCCTTTAAATGGTGCCCATAAAGCTCAGCAATTCTTCAGGCTTTGTTTACTTAAAGCAACGATTTTCGCTATAGGGGGTATTTCCGGCCCACCAAGGGTCATTTGGTAATATGTGGAGGCAGTTTTTGGTTGCCACATTGGGCAAGGGGTGCTCCTGACACCTGAAGAGTAGAGGTCAGGGAAATTGCTAAAGATCCTATAATTCACAGAACAACTCTAAAACAAGCTTGGTGTCATATCTCATGCCTGCAATCCCAGAACTAGGGAAGTTGAGGTGGTGGAATCCCAAGTTCAAAGTCAGTCTAGGCTACATAGTGAGACCTTGTCTTGAACACTGAATTGTCTCATCCAAAATGTCAGTAGTAACAGTGCTGAAGATAAGAACCCTGAACTAGAGTGTAGGGATAGAAAACTCATTCCTAACGCTTCAAGTCCCCCAGACTCCTATACTCTTTATCTTATCCATGATTTGGAATACTCTGAGAATGCACACTAGTAACTTCACTGAGCTTTGCTTGTGTGTGTGTGTATGTGCATCTGTGTGTGCACATTGAAGTTCAGAGAATCAAGAGATTTTATCAAGAGATATAAGAATATCTTATAATATTCTTTGTTCAGTGTACATAATTTCTACTCTACAAAGAATTGGTGATTATAGCCGTAGTTTCATCATGATTACAGCTATAGCTCAGACCTAGCAGGTCTTCTATTAATTAAAGAAACTAAAAGTAGGAGATTACGGGACCAGGGAGATGGCTCAGTAGGATAAGCGCTTGACTGGCAAACGCAAGGATCTGAGTTCAATCCCTGGTTCCGCCAAAAATAAAATAAAATAAAAATAAAAAAATAAAAAATAAATAAAAGTAGGAGATATATATATATATGTTAAAATTTAAATCTATAGGGTAAAATATTATAGACATTTTTTCATCAACCACTTCTCATCTTTCTTCCAAAGGTGTGCTTTGAAGAACTGAGAGTTGGTGGAAATATTTGTGGCCATGTACTTCATCAGCTGTATTAGTACATCTTTTTTTTTTTTGTATTTTAGTGCAGGGTCTTCAGGGACTACAGGGTCTCACTATGTAGATCAGACTTGTAGTGATCCACCTATATTCAGCCTCCCAAGCGCTGGGATTACAGGCGCGCACCACCTCCTCAATTGCCATCTCAGCATGCCCCAGGGGCAGGGCCGGCATGGTATGCTGTGTATTGGTACATCTTGTCTTCTTACTGGAAAACAGTTCTGGCCTCCCTGTTCCTGTCATTATGCCTTTCCTCAGACTCCAAATCAAATTTTAGAATATTGGCATCAGCGATGTCTTCAAATTAGTTAACAAGCCTCAGTGTCCCTGAGAGGATAAGAAGTTAAGGAAAAATAAAAGGACTGAACTAGAGTGCATCTTGGGCAGTGATTCTTGTCTCTCTATTTCCAGTGCCTAGGAGAATGCCAGGCACCTACTAGGTGTTCAAGAAATGTTTGTCCAGTGAGTGGGCAGAAATCACTGAGACAAACTGCCACAGATTCGCTGCAAAAATAAGAGAATAGATTGAACCTGAGAGATCCTGAAGCATACCAGTGAGATCTGGGCTTCTAGGAGTGGCCCTTATAAAGATAGAAAGATGGGACTTACTGCTGTAGGCCAGGACTACCAGCACAATGAAAACAATTGCAAATATGGCAATCAGGGAACTCATCCACATTGGAAACTTATTACCAGGAGTCTCAGCATTTGGCGGCTGCGCTGCGGAGAGAAATGACTAATGTGAGCTGCAGTACATTTCCTGCTCTTGGCTCCCATCCCATGCCTCTCCTGCAGAGAGAATTTTTCACTTCTTGCCTGGTCAGCTCACCAGTACACAGCTGCTAGCATTTCTCTCGTATATTTTTTTCAGTCAGACACATACTGTAGTCAAATGTCAGATACTGGATATGAAAATGACAATTTGAACTTTTGCATTTAGTAAGTTGGCATAAAAAGAATCTAAAGAGGTTCTTTAAAGGTTCTTCTCATCCTAACTAATTTTTATTGTAGACAAAGCTAGCAGCGTCACTTGTCATTCCCAAATGAAAGATGCATTTGTTTCACCATCTACCCTTAAGGTCCTGGGAGGATAGAGAAGGCCCAGCAAGGAGCTGACAGTGTGTACCTTGGTGTTGGGTGGGGGTATCATGAAGAGAGCCTTCTAGGCTCCACAGGAAGCATAGGGGCATAAGGAAGGAAATGGGTGGGCAAAGAAATATTTGTGTGCGTGGTGCTGCCGTCCATCCCTCCTGATGACCCACAGCAGCTACGCCATTATTTTTGAGCCCCTTTGAGTTAGCAACAAGATCTGGAGAGAGAGCAGGATAGAAATTGAAAGATACTTCAGCAACTCATCCTTTTATGGTTTCTCTGAAATGATTTACCCTGTAAGGTTTTTTTTTTTTTTTTTTTTTTTTTTTTTTTTTTTTGTGTGTGTGTGTGTGTGTGTGTGTGTGTGTATCTCACTACATAGCTCAGACTCATAGTGATCCTCCTGATTTCTGTCTCCGTAGTGCTGGGATTACAGGTGTGTGTCACCAGACCCAGACCTCATTGCCAGCTCAGTGCACTCAGGGACGGGGCAGGTTACGGCATGCCGTGCCAGAGATTGAACCCTGTTCCTGTGCTTTCCTAAGCAAGTGCTTAGTCAGCTGAGCTATACCACCAGCCCTTGAAATGACTTACTCTTTAAACATTTACTGATTAACTGTTTTTTCCTTTCCTGGGTGCCAGGCTTATGGGTACACTTCGATCTTTAGTTTATTGGACTTCTCATCAGCAGCTGACCCACAGACACCTCTTCCCCTTAACTCCTACAACCCCCCATTCCATTTCAGCTTTTTGCACTCAATTTTCTTTCTAGGCTTTGTTTTACTTGTCCTTTAAATATTGTAGTTCTGGGGGCCAGGGAGATGGCTCAGTAGGATTAGCGCTTGACTGGCAAACACAAGGATCTGAATTCAATCCCCAGTTCCACAAAAGAAAAATTAATTAAATAAAATAAAAAATAAGTTAAGAATAAATAAATAAATAAATAAATATTGTAGTTCTCATGTCCTGTCTGTGGCCCAGTCCTCCCAGATGAGCTTATCCAGACCTGAGGCTTGAAATGCCATGAGATTTCTAAATCTGTATATAATATTTTGATCTCATTTCTGAGCACCAGATTTGGTAGCTGCAGCTGCTGACTAGAAGGCTGGGAGCCAGCTTCTCCTCTGACCAGACTGAACTCACCATATTCTTTCCAGAGGATATCTACCAGCTGCATTCATCCACAGCAACAGGTGACATCACTGTGTCACCCAAATAAAAGACAAACTTTCTTGTTCTCGTTTTCCGGTCAGCTCCCATGTACTTTCTACTGCTATATCCAGAATATCTCTGATACTACTTGCTTCTCACAAATCTTTGAGAACACCTTCCTTAGTTTGGAACACCTCTCCTGTCTGTAGCCTCCAATCTATCTTCTTTGCCTCAGTTGTTCCGGGCTGCAATAATTCACACACATTGCTGCTCCAGTCATTATTTAAAAATGCATATCTGCACTTAGATGCTTGTCATTTACAAAGTAGGAAAAACTGCCTTCTCCTTTTTCTTAAAGCACCATATTGTAAGGAGACATCATGTGACTCCTAGGGTTGGCTGCTGCAGGCCAGAACAACATATAAAATGACAGGGGTGCCCTTATATCCTGGAAGCATAGATGGTTCGCAGGCGCTGGCTCGCTCCTGGCTTCCTTTCAGAAACACTCCCACCCACTCCTAAGCCTCGGAAAGCCTAGAGAAGCAATGTGTGTGTGGAGCAGAAAGGAGCCAGGCAAAGCCAACTGCTTCTGCCTTCTAGAAGCCTCTTAACACACCCAAGGGTCCAAAGTGCAAAGTTGTGAGGGCCCCAGAAGGAACGCTCATGCTAGAGGTCATGAGCAGGGCTTTCCAGCTTATCAAAGGTTAACAGATTCACAGTCCTTAGACTAAAAGAACCATGTACCGGTCTGTTCAGTGAATCTGGTTTTCCCCACATCAAGTGTTATGTAACAAATACCATAATCTTTGCCACGTCTGAGGACTATACGTCCAATGAATGATTCTCTGTATTATCAGCCCTCAACACCCCTCAAGTGGGCTACTTGCTTGAGACTCTAGTGCTGAGAATGCCGCAATCTAAGTATTTACATTCTGAAACTCTCCAATCACAGAGAGAAAACCTATAAGTTGGTTAACAACATCACCTGGGCCAAACCTGAGGTATCACCTGTGTTTAGGACAAAGTTTACTGGGATGCAGCCACATACTGCATTAATGTCTCGTCCATGGCTGTTTTTGCTCTACGGTAGCAGAAGTGAGCAGTGGTAGCAGAGACTGTGAACTGCGAAGTCTAAAACACTTGCTGTGTGGTTCTTTTTACAAAGCTTTGGCAACTCTTGCCTAAGAACGTCACCCACACCTGCTTTCCAAACACAAGTCTCAGGTAAAATATGATTTACTCTGTGGATTCACCTCTGCATTAATGTTCACCTTTGGAATATTCTAAAGCTTGTTAAATAATGATATATCTACACAGCCAAAAATAAGCTCTGAATTAATAAACTGTATTTTACTATTTGATTCAAACTTCACTTTTACAAATATTTCGAATACATCAATGATTATTGACAGAGATGAGTTTGGAATATAATAAAACCATGGTAAGCTGGGTTTATATTGGAACTAATTTTCCCAGAGAATTTTATCTCATTATTCATTGAGCAAAATAGAACTGTCAATAAATAAGAATGGATTAGATCATCTAAAATAGATCCTCAAGCGCTGAGATGGCAATTGAGACTGGGCATGGTGGCACATGCCTGTAATTCTAGCTCTTGGGAGGCTGTAAACAGGTGGATCACTACAAGTCTGATCTATTAGTGAGACCCTCAACTCCCTGTAGACCCTTCCCTAAAATGCAAAATAAATAAATAAGGTCCTCAAAAACAAAGCAAGAGGAAGACATATGCCACACCCTGTTATACCATATGCTGACATGCCACAGAACACCACATTCAAATGCATTGTTTATTACCCACATAAAATATATCTTTGGAAGTGGGGTTGGGGAGAGTCCTGGTGGTCCCCTGTATGGTCAGCCACATAATTCAAGTATTTGAGTTATCCTGTGATAACCTACCAAGTTTTTCCCCCCATATTTTATATTCAGATAATTTTACCTCTTGAGGAAAGAAAATTCTTTAAGTTTTCCTCTTGGCTCAAGAGGAAATTTTTTTTTTTTTTTTTTTTTTAGACAGGGTCTCACTGTACATCACACTGTGTCCATTGACCTTAGTAAATCATGATAACACGTTTTGAAAGTCTAAAATGACTCTAAAATTTCTATCAAAGTCAGCAAATTCAATCTCAGGATGCATCTGACTGAGTAATTTTCTTTTCAGATTCTCCAGGGTGGGTCCCTGGGACAGTGTTGCTTACGTTTCTGCCAGGTGAATGTCTCCGACACTTCTGTGTTTCCATACTTGACGAGGCACTGGAAGCTGTGGTTGCTCGTCATGTTGAAGTGCAGCTCACTGCTGACAGTGAACAACTCTGTCTGGGGATCCTGTGAAACTGCCGGGTAGTCAGTGTTTATCTCTTTTCCATCTTCCAACCAAGAGAGGTGAGGCTTAGGAAAACCCCCCGAAGTTGAGCATAGTATCCTTTTAGTGTCCGTGGATATATTTCCAAGGTCAGTTATACTGGGAGTAAGGAAGTCAGCTAGAGGAAAAAAAGACATATGATTACATTTGGTGATAAGTCTGTGTGTATGGGTTTATATTTTGTTCATTATTTATTATTTTTTATTATTCTTGTTTCTTGTTTATTTTATTTTATTCCTTCAATTTTGTTTTTTCAAGACAGGGTCTTACTATGCAGTTCACTCTGGCCTTGACCTCCCTATGTAACTCAGTCTGAACTCAAACTCACAGCAATCCTCCTGCTTTAGTCTCCCAATCCTGGGATTATAGCAATGTGCCATCATGCCCAGAGGATTTATATTTTAATATACTAGCTAGTTTTGAATAAGAATAATAAAATGAGTTTAATTTGCAACTCCCATAAATTATTCATAGTTACATATAATTTAAAACTTTTTGATTTGTTTTTATTTATTTATCTGGTACAGGGTCTTGCTATGCAGCTCAGACTTGTAGTGATCCTCCTATCTTGGCCTCCCCAGTGCTGGGATTACAGGGATGCACCACCACTCCTGGTTTCATTCTGGTAGCTGGCTTGGTGAGGGGCTGGCACAGCATGTGGTACTGGGGATCGAACCTGGGTCTTTGTGCTTTTCGGGCAGGCACTTAGACCATTGAACTATTTTCCCAGCCCCTTAAAGGTTTTGATTTGAATTGATCATATGGATTCTTCACCACTTTTTATTGAGATTGGAGGTGCTTAGAAAAGGGAAAAGTAGATTTGTGTGAATAAATATTGACATAGTACTTGTGATTTTAGGAGGTGGAGAGAAAAATATTTATGGGCTTCTTTTAATTGTGTCTGAACATTATCTTATTGTCTTTACAATAACCCCATGAAGTGGAATTTAGATCAACAAAGGTCAGATATAAAGCTGAGTGTGGTGGTCCATGTCTATAGGCTGATGTAGGAGGATCGCTGGATCCAGGAATTCAGGACCACTCTGACAGTCTTCGTTTTTGGTACTAGAAACTAAATCCAGGGGCACTCTACTACTGAGCTACAGACCCAACCTTTTCAGTTTTATTTTGAAACAGGGTCTAAGCTTCCCAGGCTTGTTTTGAATTTTTGATCTTCCTGCCTCAACCTCCCTGGTAACTGGGATTATAAGTGTGTGCTGCTGCAACTGGTGAATATCTGTAATTCCATAGCATTTAACCTAAAACCATTTGTTTTATAAATAATCTAAGGTTTAGAAGTCATAGCTGTTACATGGCAGAACTGGGATTTGCTCTTGAGATTTTTGACATTAGAGAATGTATCCTTCCCTCTCTCCCTCCTTCCTGCCTGCCTTCTCTTCCTTTCTCCCTCCCTCCCTCCTTCCTTCCTTCCCTTTCTGTCTTCCTTCCTTCCTTCCTTCCTTCCTTCCTTCCTTCCTTCCTTCCTTCCTTCCTTCCTTCTTTCCTGCTTTATCAAGTGCCCAGTGGTTCTCTTGTACTCTATTTATTTGATAAACTTTAGCAAGCACTTTGGGAGTCATCCTCCAACTTGAGAAGAACACTGACAGGAACTTCTGTGAATCTACCTGGGGTCTCACCTCTCCTGTCCTTCTGTTTCCCTAGACCTACAATAACTGGTACCCTAAATGTTTAGCATCCCCTTGCTTCCTATAAAGTTGCTTTTACCAAATAAACCTGTCCAGCTGTGCCATCCTGAGCCTATAATCTTGACTGCTAATCTTTACTGCTTGCTCCTCAGATGTGGCGTAAACAAACAGGACTTGCTAGCATTTCTCTGAGACAGCCGAGCCACCCTTTCATGTGTGTATTTGACCCCCAATAAGATATAAAAACCCATAAACCAAAGGAGGGAAATGATAAAACCTGTAAAACAAGGAAAACCTCCTGTAACCTCTTCCTATTCATTGGCTTAAAATCTTTACTCTCAGAGTGAATGTGGGGATTTGATCCTCCATACTTAAGTGCCTAGGACTTAGCTTTCTACTCAGAAGTTTGGGTGCTCAGAGAGGCCACAAACCCAGATATTCTTGGTGACCTTGGGCCAGTTTAACTACCTTTATCTTGCTCTTCTGACATGATCAAAGTTTTGGAAAAGGACAGCTTCTTAGAGCTTATGTCATGCCATCCTAGAATAAATATGTTTTAACCATGAGTAGAGAATACAGACAGCAAGGGGTAAGAGTTCCGTGGAGCTGTGGTGTACCCCCAAGCTCTCCTGTGATCTGTGACCACAGGATTCACTGCTAATAACTGAAGCAGGGACAGAGTGGGGAATTCACTAATCTGCTGAAATTATTTATTTCAAAGATGAATCATTACGTTTTACTCAGCATAAGTTTGGTTTTCACTAAAACTGCAAGTGCCCAGGAAGAAGCAACACACATTGCCTTTTAAGTGTGAGAGAATGGCCTGAGCTCTCATTCCTGAGCAAGGGCTCCAGGCTTCACCAGTCAGCTCCAGGACTGTCCCCTGCTAGGCTAGTGAAGAAGCAGGGCTGTGATTTGGGAATTTATCTTTTTCCTTCTGGCAAGTATGAATGATTCCTCCAATTCTCTAACAGCTAATTTTGCAGGAGATTTTAGATGAGAACTTTAAACATGCAATAAGTACATACAAATATGCAATATGCACACACAAATATTAGAATATAATAGTAGAACAGTTATAGATATTCAAACACTACTTGAAAAATATGTATGCCTGCCTTGCTCTTCAGTCTT